CCCCCGACCGAGGTGTGTATAATATACCCTTTCTGCGGTGTAGCCCAGAGTCATCGATAATATGCGAGGTGCGCTCGCCGCGGTTATTGAAAAACACCGGATCGGAAGAAAGTGTTGGAGATATACTTACCACGAGAACCGATTACCGCTGTACGCCATCACGTATCTGCCGGACCGATGAAATTAGAGCCAAGGATGTCCCTCTGTCCGTTCATATATATATATACATTGGGGCGAGCGTTTTTCTATCGCTTCGATCGCTGCCCCATATATACACACGGGCTCGCTTTTTCTCAGCACCCTTAAAGCCTTCCCTCGCCTCCTCCGTGAGAGCCCATAATTTCATTGTCTTTCCTCGGCTCGGAGCTGGGCCCGGTTTCTCCGCTCCTCTATTCATTACGTGCCACCCCCTCGCCCCAAGTATATGTGGCTATAGAACTATATATACATACCCTTTTCTTTTCTACACTTTTTCCAACTTTTTTCCTTCCCTCTTCTTTCGTTTCTTGAGTAATTATTTTCGCGCCACGTCAACTTCTCCAATTTCCCGTGATGGTTATTGTTGTAACACTGCTCTTTCGAGCGCAATCATTGTCGATGGTTTCCATACTTTTTTTTTTCTCCCTTCCCCCCTGCACTCTCTCCGTTTTTCATTTTGCCACCGCTAAGGACACACGTGATAGGAAATAAAAGCAGGTACATGTTGTACATATATGTGTGTATGGGCTAAAGTATGCGAGAGGAGGAGAGTAGCCCCTGTAGCCACCTGTTCGGCCGCAGCATAGTATATAATATGATACCTATAGGTATGGTATAGCTCTCGGCTCGAAATTCTTCTGATAATTGACGTGCTTTCTCACGCACTCTCTTGACGTACACGTGATATGCGCGTACTTGTGAATTATTGGCACGATATATGCATATGTATATATACAATGCACACAAGTGAAGCTGTACACGCTGCAGCTGGTATATTATACGTATATATACGTAAATGGGGAGCTCACATTCTGGGCTACATAACACACGTGCGCATGCCGGTGATGAGTAAAGGAATATAGCGACCAAGGGGACAGATGTCGAGCGGTGATCGAGGACGCGTCGGAGCGTCCAGTCGGCGATGCTCGGATTTTGCGTCGCTCCCCTTCGCTGTATACATGTCGCCCGTGTGCGGTGCTCTCGTTTCGACGACGACCTTGATTCTCGCGGGAATATATTATTAGGTCTTTGACGAGTGGTTTTCCGTCTCCATGGATCGAGACAAAGATACATTTTTCCTTTTTTTTTTTTCCCCCCCATCATTGGCTGATTAAAGCAATGCCGCAGTTTGGCGTGTGTGTATACGACGCGTGCCTCTGCAGCCGTACACCAGAATGCAATAAGGCTAATGGCTCATCTGGTCAAGAGAGACGAGATTCGAATTGCATCCTTGGCTTTGCCTACTTTCTCCTGCTGCGTCCGATGTATGTGCGTGCACTAATATATATATACACACACCACATCTGTTCATTATATTTTTATATATACGCGCTCAAAAATAACGATGATAATGATAATAATAACAATATAACGACGTGAAAGTTCTTCGTTACGTGGTTATAACGAGAGGCGGCGCGATACATCTCTCTCTATGTATATATGTTTATCTGATGTATCTCTGATTCAGCTGTATTGATTTATTTCGTTGTATCCACATAAATATACATACATGTACGTATAGGTATACCTATATATACCGGTAATACAGATGAAAGTTACACTTTTTCATTTTCTCCCCCGACCATTTTTTCTTTTTTTTTTTTTTTTTTTTCTAATCACCATAAAATATATATCCGCAACAGCTGCAGCAGCTAAATCCTATTCTCACGCATGCACATACTCGTGAAACGATTCGAAAAAATTAAAAATTGAGCTCGCGCGTGGCGCCTTTTACTAAATATATAATCTACACATCACATCTGCACTCGTGTCTGAGTGGCTTACGTGATGTGCTTTATCTCTCTGTCTTTCGAGGCCTCGGAAAATTCATCCACGTTCCGAACGGAAAATCACCCAGTTTTTCCACCTTTTTATCTCGCGTGAAACGTCAAAAGATCGAGATTACACATCAGGAAAGCTCTGCCTTCATCTCCCACGTATATACCTTTTAATTTTCTACTCTTTCCTTTTTTTTGGGGGGGGGGGGAAGTAGAAAATAACGCACGCGTGACATTCCAGAGAAAAGAGGGCCGACGGGCATGGTAAAACGATCGGCTAAATAATCGTCGAGTCCGTCCCAAAGGAGCACGGCTCGGTATAGGCACGCGGGATTGCATCGCACGCGCGCACACGGGCACTGACGGTTAATTTCGAAATCTCGACGTCAACGACTATACATATACATACATAGCTTTAGCTCACAGGTAGGTACTTATAGGGTATATATATATAGAGGGTGGGAGGGTGGCCAGCGTCGCGCTCAATAAATGATGCCGTCTGTGCGGTGGCGCGAGCTATTACGGCCTCCATTAATAATTCCCCGAACGAATTTCGCCGTCGATAAATAATTGGGCCCGGGTCCGGCTCCAAAGCCGCGCTCTCGTCCGTACGGCCAACCAACCTGCACGTCCGTATGTACACACACCCAACTCGCACCCGATAAATAATTCCCTCTCGTCCCGTTGTCCCGTGCACACGTACAGGTATGTACAGTATGCAGTATACAGGTGCTATACCTATACATATAAATGTATATACATATATACGCACTATCTGCTGGTGGTACTCCCACGCGGTGCGCCCTTACCTCGACAAATTTTAATACCGCAGCTGCCACCGCTGCTTCTGCACACGCGTGTATCATATAACACACATATATATATACATACATGTGTAGTCGGTACGACTGGGGAGAGGTACACGAAATTGCCAACAAATCCGATTGATATTGGCCCGCCTATATGTGGGTACACCACCTCCACCCGCTCACTCGATGATTACAGCCAACCTCGGTCGGATACGTTCTTCCATGGCCCTTCTAGAGGTGATTCCGCCTCACTGGATTAACGAGCTTTTTATGTCTGTTTTTTTTTTTTTTTTTTTATTTATCCCCCAGTGGACAATTATATAGCCGCGCGTTTATCCTCGGGGTTTATCAAAATACTTTCCGTCATTTACTTCNAAAAAAAAAAAAAAAAAAAAAAAAAAAAAAAAAAAAAAAAAAAAAAAAAAAAGAAACGAAAATCAAAGCTACCATACGTAGTATACTTGTGTAAATCGTTGTAATAAATCAACAATTGATTTAAATCGCTTTCACATTTATGCCAATATATAATATTACATGTATTGTGCCCAATCGATCCTCGTCGTCCAATCAGCTGGTCATTGATTATACGTAGCCAACAAGCGATATTCCAGCATAATATTATCCACCTTCGAATCGTTCATCATCGGATAACACGTCCCGCTAACTGCCCACCGACCGATATATATATATATATATATATATATATATATTTTACGTATCCCGATGCGTATACGTATATATATATGCACCACCCAACCGCACTCTACTTTGGCCATTGTGATGCGGTGCACTGCAACGAGGAAGTGCACATACATTATAATATTATATACTATACGCGTCCCAAAGTCTTTCGGATTACACGTACCTCGTTATCGATGCTTATTCGACCTGATTAATCCACGTATCATCTCGCAACGCGTCTATACAATATACGCGGCACAACGGTATAAAAGCCTTTTTTTCACGCGTGTCTCGTCCACGCTGAAACGGGAGATACGGAGCCAATGTAGGATATTACATACATATACATATTTAAGTACTCGGTGAAGTCACGTATCGAGTACGAACACCCACTCGGAAGTACACGTTGTGTACGACGGCGCTTAAGATAATGGCGATACAGGGGTAGCAAAGTGCACATCATCTAGCGAGAGAGGGTGTATACAACACGTATATAGCACTAGAGGCACACGAGCCGTACCAGCAGTATGTATGTATATATATAAGAGATGAGTTTAAGAGAGCAGAGACTAGGTCGCGCCTTAATTATTCGCCGGGGAGAAAAGGCTTCGCGCGCGCGCGTGTCTTTGCCGTCGGGCCCAATAATTTGATGTAGAAAAGGGGGAGCAGCAGCAGTTAACCCGGGACTTTCCCAACTCCCCCTGGTAAGTATATATATATACGTATAGGGTACGTCCTCGTCAACGGTAAGTTTCTTAGCGGATCCGCCTCGGTCGTGTTACTCTTCCAGCCCGGTGCCTCCCAACCCCGCGTACATACTCTCGTTGTGTTCGCCCGTGAAGATGCTTTTATCCGGACGCCCCCTCCCCCCCACCCCCCGAACAACCGACGAAATTTCGATCCCCCGTCCCTGTCATAACTAGGTGTACCACAGTGTGTCCTTCCTCTCTTTCGTGTATACGTATAGGTTGCACTTTTTCTTTGTTATCCACCCCGGCAACTGTCCGTCTTTATTATCTGTTCTCGCGCAACCACGTCGTAAAGCTCGTTCTCGTCGAGAGAGATAAAGAAGAAGAAAAAAAAAAAAAAAATCACCTGTGCGACGCGGTCTCTGGGGTCGTCGTCTACACGATGAGACGACAAATATTTCACTTGCCTGCTTGCGTCCTTTCTTTTTTTTTTTTTTTCCCCTCAACCTTGGCTCACCAGTATACATGGAAAAAACAAAATTCATTTGTACCTTTCAAACGAGGGGGTTGGCGGGGAGTGTAAATTTTTGTTTTTCCATCACTGCGTGTACATATATATATAAATTGCAATATCAGGGAGAGAAAAGCTCCGAGGCTTTTGGAATCTATGGTAACGGCGAGGGATGAAAATCTTTCCGTGATTGTTGTGTTACTTTGAAAAGATTTTTCCTCTCCGAGCCTTTCAGTTGAATTAATTAGCGTACGGTTGGGAGGGGGAAAAAAAAAGAATCAAATGCTCGCAAATACTATTTAATATTTATGATTATTCTTTTGTTTGTTTTCAGGAAAGATAAAGACCAAAGCGGCTCTCGACGTGGAAGCCAAGAGCGGCTACTGGCTCACGGTTTACGCTCAGGATCACGGCGTCGTGCCGCTGAGCTCGAAATTACAGGTACGTACACGCCCACGCAAATTCAATTAATTCCCTTATAATTTGCACCAAAATTTATTTGAAACAAAAACAATTGAGTGCATTGTTTGGAAGGCAAACGTGACGTGTGCGCTTGGAAAGGGAAAAAAAAACCCCGCGCACTGTTTTTTTAATTTGATAAACCATCAAAAAAACTGTGAAAATTGGAGCGCGTAGTTTGTTATCGAATTCAAAACGGAGGCGCGTGTGGACGAGAGACGAAAAAGGTTGCAAATAAATTGGATTGGGTGGAGAAATAAAAAAAAAAAAAAAAAAAAAAGAGTATAGAGAAGGTGGGGGGAGGAAAAAAGAAATGATTTGCCGGTCCCTCGTTGCAGGTGTACGTCGAGGTATTGGACGAGAACGACAACACGCCACTCACCGAACTGCCGGTCTATTATCCGTCGGTATCGGAAAATTCGCCGGCCGGCGTGAGCGTGCTCCAGATGCGGGCCTTCGACCGCGACGTCTCGCCGCAACGGTTCACCTTTTCCATCACGAGCGGCAACGCGGAAGGCTACTTTCTCATCAACTCGACCACTGGTGAGTACACACACCCACACGCATCCCTCTTTGCCCATATATAGTGTACATATACACACATGACGCGCAAATAGCCCGGCTCTGCTCTACATTCCGCATAATACTTATGCGTCTCTTTTCATCGATCCATTACCTATTATACATACGCAGAGCTGCAGAGGCACTCCCCCACGCCGATGTATGTGTACACGAAACCCTTGGCAGTCCACTTTCAATTTTCAATCAAACGCGTCTGGGCCGCCGCTGATTGCCATTACCGCGCTCGCCCCCTCGTTCGCTTATTTTCTGCTCCGTTGGATTTTATTTCGCGAGACAAACAACTCCAAAGTCGGCAGTCTCGAGAGTTAACCGGCCCTCACTTTTATAATCGCCCTCGTTTCCATTTTTTTTTTTCTTTTTGCCTCATTTGGCTGGATTTTTGCTAGAAATGTAGGTACACTTGATACACCGCGATTGCAACAGCAACGTATTCGGGGAAAAGTCTGACAAGTGTAAGACCCGGGCTCTTTGATTCCCCGTTAGCCAATTAAAAAATTAATGAAAGAAAATGAAGGAAAAAAAAGGGGGGGGGGAGTACCGAAAAAGCCCACTTTGAAAAGTCCAGCTTCAGGTCCAAATGGAGCTTTCATGCGGAAAGGAAAATAGATGAATGAACCGAGAGCAGTTTTTTTTTTAGAAGTACGCGCGCTTGTATGATGTATACATATAGTTATGTGATTTCCGAGTGACATAAACATCGCGCGTACAGCTGCACTTGAGCGTTTGAGTTGATACAGCCGCGAAGGGGGGGGGGAGAAAACCAGCTGCAGGGTCGGGAAAAATTATAAAATTCATCGTCGAGTGGTCTGATTAGCGCTTTGATGTGTGTCGAGTGCACTTTTCCGGTTCAATGACGAGCAGAACCACCGCGGTAATTCTCGGGGCACATTGGGCACTGAAAGTTTCAAATATAACTCGGCGCTTTGCTGGTGGAAACTGTATCTTATTTTGTAGCAAAGCAATGGAGTAAAAAATTTCCTCCCGCCCCCCATATTCAGGGAGAATCTCGGTGATTCCGGGGGCTCGCGCGGACGTGAAAATAAACACGACGACAAATACGCTGGTGAAAATGAAGCAGTAGGTGTACGGTCCGGTGGCTCCAGCTCGGCTTATTTCCCTTGTATACGTGTTTCGCGTTTTGCTTTTACGACCGAGAAAGAGAGTTTCGTTTGCGCGCACTCCGAACTCTGCAGTGCTCGCAATGGTGGTGTATGGGTGCACGCCGCTGTAGCATTGCTCGGGCACAAAAGAAGCCGGCGACCGACGCATTGGCTTCATTTTCAACTAACGTGATTAACCACGCGTGACGTTTGACCATAAGGCACCACCGCCACTGTAGCTACGACTTTGCCTCCCTGACACCGAAGCCCAACAAGAGCATCGCTTTGAAAAAAAATCCCCTGCCTTTCACCCCCTCGACCGTAATGGCACGGTATATGTGTACACGTGTGATATACACATAATGGCCCCTTTAACAATTTTAGCTGCCTCTTGTAAATCGTATAATAATAATAGCAAATGTCCACAAGTATAATCTATTATATCCCCCTCCCTTTGTCCCTCTCAGGGTGGAGTTACAGAGGCTGTGCTTGCACAGGGCTCAGCTCTTGAGACGACCGAGAACGAATAAAGATTTTGTTTGCTTTCAGGGTTGATAACGACGAGCGCCCGGATGCTGGACCGGGAAAACCAAGCGGAGCACATACTCGAGGTAAGCTTGTTTGAGGTAAAAATTACCGCCCGACCGTTACAGGGTAATATTGCATCGGTGGTTATTCCTTCCTGCTTCCCCAGTGGCCATTTTCGAAAGCCCCGCTGTGCTTTATTAATTTCCTTAAACCTATTTTCCGCACTTGTTCCCACCCCTTCCGTGTGCGCCACCGCCAAAAACATCCTTCTTTTCTCCTTCTACCTATATACCGCTCTTAAAAGCCATCCACTTGCCCGTGGGCGGCCCACCCGCTAAAAGTAAATACACACTGCCTTTTAAAGGACACTCTTTTCTATTTACTCCCCCCCCCCCGCCCTCGGGCGCTTCTACGAGCCCTTTTTATCCATACATCGCGCAACATTTTTCATCTTTCAGTTACTCCCCTTCCACCGTTTCTTTTTTATCTCTCTCTCTCTCTCTCTCGCTTTACACCGAAAACCCGGTAAAAATGAGGTAAAAAATTTGACAAAGCGACCTTTTAGTTTTCAATTACGTACCCTCGCCCTTTGCCCTCGTTTTATTTATTTTCGTGCATGGATGTTGTACGCCAATGCGCGTGCACACCAAATCACGGCCAATTAATTCGTTTCGTTTTTTAATTGTTTTCGGACATTTAATACTCGATCCTCTCCATTTTCCTTTCATCGTTTGACCAATTTTTGTACGTGTGTATGCGCGGAGGCTATTCAATTAAACAAAATAACGCAATGTTGATTTTTTTTTTTTTCCTCTTCGTTGCTCCGCGTCCTTGTATATATGTATACAAGTGTAATGTGCTGTGAAAAATTGTTTCCCCCGACCCTCAATTATTTCGCGAGCTCGAGTTATCGCGGAAATTTAATCGATCCATCTTTAATGGCGCCCCAAATTTTCGAGCACTTCCATCCCGACTTTGCGCCAAAGAGAGGGAGTATAATATATACTTAAACCGTCGTAGTGGCGATTAAAATTTTAATCTAAACAGTTTCGCGACAGTTGGCGCGGAAATAACACTTAATCCGTTGCATGAGCATCGGTTATTACATGTTTCATAAAAAATACTGGGCCTAAAGGGATTTTTAAAATTTATTTTACTTACTTTTGAAGCTTCAAGTCATACAAAATTAGTATTTAATCATATAACATAAAATCTGATTATACCAATATGTTATTTACACAAAAACTCCAAAAAATGTAAATATTCAACATTTAATTGTTGAGCTCATGTCGTTGTTTTACTTAATACATTACAATGAAAAAAACAAAATTTTTTGCCAAAATAATTTGTAAAATTAGCACAATTTAAAAGTCCTTGGACAAGCACAGCTCAAACAATCTGCGCTTTCGTTTGACCATTACTCGTGAAAACGAAAAATAATTGGATCGGCTTTTACCACCCATTTACATGTAAAACCTACGCAGACCCTACACAAAACCTATCCCATTTTTTGCTTCTGTTGAAAAATGTGTAAAAATCGTGCCTGAAAATGATGAGAGTACAGCAAGCATACGCACCCAAGTACATCGACATATGCAACATCAATTTGATTTCTAATCGAAGGCCGCTCCATATATGTAATATAGGCAAAGAAGACTGCGCGCATGTATATATATGTATACATTTTCCCCCATTCGCAAAAGCTCATACGTATGCATAGACTTTTCCAAGAGAGAAAGATAGGGGCTTCCCCCCCTCTCTCGGGGAGTATAAGATTGGGAAAAGCCTGTTTGCTGTCCGCGATCCCGACCTCAAAGCAAAGCTCCGAGCCTCGGTTGAGACAACCCCCGTCGAGCGATAACCATCCGAATATACATTCATCGCCCTCATCCTCGCGTGTGTAGCTCGTCCTCGTTTCCCCCCCCCCCCCCGTTTTCCACAAAGATCGCTCGCAAAGAATAGGAGAGACGCCAAGTTTTACAGCTCGTAATACATTTTCTCCTCCCCCACGCATCACCGAAGTTGGGCGCGCTTCGGTGGCCTTGAAATTAAATTTTTACGAAGAGGAGCTTGAAATGTAAATCACGGCTAACAAGCCCATGTGAAAAGTGCAGTGGCTCCACGTGAGGACAAAGAAAAGGATGGTCGAGCGTCAAAAGTGTGCTATTGAGACGTCGCCGAGTGGAGGGAGAGGAGGTTCTACGTGTGTGTAGCGCCGTTGCGTCGACGAAATCTCGTTAGTTCCGCTTTGAGTCACCGAAACGGGTGGTTAAGGCTTGTTTGTCTTTCTAACCGAGTTAAACGGAGTCGGTCCTCCCTCCTCCGCGGACCCCAAACAACGGGCTCTCGTTCCTCCGACTCCCCGGCCTTTCATCTCTTCCGTTACAACTATGCTGGTGGTGTACGCGTATACGTCTCTTCACCTCCCCCTTTCTTTTTCATTTCCCTGCCCCCCCCTCCTCCTCGTATAATAAACGCAAGAGCCTTTTCCTGTACCCCGCAAGTTCTTCCTTTTCCTCGTATCGTCACTGTTTGTACAGACACCGGGTACACAAGGTCGGGGCTCGTTTATCTTGGCAATTAAATAAAACTTTGGAAAATTCGTCCCGACAAGTGCATCCTCCTGTAGTTGGCCCGACTCGATTAATCCCCCCCGGGGGGGGAAGGGGGCCGTGTATGTATACCTTGGGAAACGTGATCAAAAGAACGGACGCGACTCCCAAAAGAGCATCCACGTGCGTATAGTATTTACGTACATTTGTTAAAAGTGTCGAGGAGGTTTTTTCCTATGTACCTCCAGCTATGACCAATAACTCATCGAGGCCTCGGAGTATAAACATCGGGAGGAAGCTTGTCTTTTTTTTTTTTTTTTTGGACGTGCTGCATGGTAGAGTTTTCGGGAGGAAGAGCTTCGCGGTGGGATATCGTACACGTATTTGTCCAAAGCCACACAGCGATGGTATAATACAGTTCGGGAGTTGGTGAGAAAGAGCAGTGGTCTCGGTAGTGGTCAGTCGCCACTAACGTTTAACTGAATTTGCAGTATAGGTCGCGAAAGCTCTCTACCACTGGCTCTCCCGGGACTCTCGGTGACGTACGAGAGGTACCAAAGTCGTATAAACGCACCGCGGAGCCCTTTGATGTTTTTTTTTTTTTCTTCTTTTCCTTATCTCACCCTTTGGCAGTCCTCCTCCATCAGTCGGCATCGCGTTGGGTTTTCATACATATTTCACGTGCATAAAGGAGGCTTGGTTTCTTTTTTTTTTTTTTTTTTTTTCTCGCGGCTGTTCTCCTCTACGTGCAGCACACGGTCTTTGGATTCCAAGGGGATTTTACTTTGGATCGATAAACGAGTTTGCGAGCTATTGCAGCGCTTGAAATATTGCAAGCCCATCATTATCTCTCCCACCCCGTGATGTATTATACCCTCGGACTCGCGGGTCGAGGAAAATTTTATCCTGCAATTTACTCTACCGCGTGTACGTATGAATTCCCGTGGCGTGTGCTCGCCTCTCGGAGGCTCTTGTGCATATATATATATATATATTCGCTGGCTCATTTTCCGTCTGTATACGTACAAGGCAACCGCGCCCAAAAATCTCGGATCAATCGAGCCGCTCTTTCGACGCTTCGTGTGTTCACCAGCGTTTTGGCTTTTACACTCTACTTCCCGTACGTATATATAGGGGGTACGGTTTATTCACGAGTTTTTCCATTTTTTTTTTTTTTTTACCATAATCATAATCCTCTCGTTTATTTCGTTCGCTAGAATGACATAGTCTTTCGGAAAATCGTGAAAATAGTTGAACAAAAAAAAAAAAAAAAAAAAAAAAAGCCGCATGTATATACCTGGGATGAAAATTTCGAGGATTAATCGGCCACGTTATACGTAGCGGTTTAATACCGTGACTAATGGGGTCGCGCTTTGTTTTTTACCTCCACCCACGTAGCGTACGGCTGAAGCACGTCGTTCTTACCTCGACTCGGATTCGTCTTGCTGATGAAAAGCTTTTTCACACCCTCTCGAGAGGTGCAGAGTTGAGGGCTAAAAATGAAGCCCCATTAATAACCTCGTCCTCCTCCTTTCTTCTCCTCCGCAGGACGCTGTCCGAGTTCCTGTATCTGCTCCTACTTGTGTACCCACAGTACGCGGGGGAGGAAAAACGAAGGAAAAACGAAATTCCTCGATGATGGAGATTTCGCGTAATATTGAAAATTTCTCCGAAATCCAAAGTTAACGATAGTTTAATATATTGTTTGCTCTATGGGTATATATGTGTTGTATAAGAGTGGGGGAAGTACGAGATCAAGTTTTGCATCAACAATCTCGTTGCGCAAACTTTCCGGGGAGTTTCTCCCCTCGGGCTCTAATCCAAAGTGCAACGGTGCCCCGGATCAAGCTGTGCATGCTGGAACGGAATATTGGCGCGTGGTACGGCGGAGCACTGAAAAATCGCGGGCAGTGTCGTTCGTCAAAAATCTTACGAAACGAGTAATAACGACCGCGAGGGCCATTTTTTCTCGTTTTTTTTTTTTTTTTTTTTTTTTTTTTTTTTTTTTTTTTCAGCCGCCGCGCGTCGGCGCGATCCATCTTTATTTAACGCAAAAACCACTCGGTGGCGTGGGAATTAAAAAAAAAAAAAAAAAAAAGACATTTATTAATTTCGCGTAAAAACTCTGGGGGTGTGCAAACGAAAAAGAGGCGCTTCGTCGGAAAAATGGGCACCGGTGTTTTGCAAGTAGTGCCACGGAGAGAGACGCGCTCGTTTAATAAGTCGACTTTGGGGGGCGATCGGTTTGATCGGTGGCACCTGCGCGCCCATAAACTAAATTTCGACGTGGAAAGCCGACCCTCTCCGCGCCCCTGCAAACTTCCTTACCCCCTTTCCGCTGCATGTTATTAATTCAGCTCCTGTAGCCTCGACATCCCGGAAATTCGTTATTAACATTTTGGTTGAACCAATTAGTCATTGAGATTTATCGCACCGGTGCAGTCCATACATGTTTATCATTTTTGCCGAAACAATTGTCCCGAGAGCCGAGCTTTTAATAACAACGGAGAAACAGACTTTTTAATATTCATCGGGGCTCGCATCGATTTATCGATCGGAGAGCCGCACGCGAATATAAATCGAGGGTGGGGGGAAAAGAAAGCAGAGGATCGCGCAAAAAAAGGGAAAAGTTGGATAATTCAATTGGCCATTTTTTTTTTTTCCGCTAAAAAACGGAGCCACCTGTGCGGGATTATTCAAAATTAAAAGTGTTCCACCCGCGCGCATCCTCCTTTGTTCCTTTTCATCGCACCGCGTGTACGTGTAAATCAATTGAAAAAGTCGCGAAAGATAAAATCGCGGACACGTAGGGCGACTCGCCGAGAGAGTCTAGGAGGTATGGTATATACAATGAATACATGTGGGAGAGCTCGAAACTAAAGGGTAAAACATTAAAAGGGAGAGCATGATGATGAGTTAAATATATAGATGTGCCTATACGCGTGTGGTGTAACTTTGGGTCGTGCTTTGTGTAACTTGCAGGTGACGGTGAAGGACGACGGGAGGCCAGCCCTGTCCTCGATGACGCGCGTCGTCGTTCAAGTTGAGGACGTCAACGACCACAGCCCCGTGTTCGAGGAGAAGTTCTACATCGTCCAAATTCCAGCTTTGCCGAGTCCCGACAAGCCGCTTTTCCAGGTACGTTTTCACCCCCCGTTACTCTACCGATGTACATACACCCATACCGATGCCCCGTGTCGTATAAAAGCGTACAATATGTATATATGTACCACCAACCTACGACGAATCTCGATGTACCTACATTCATACGTGTGTATGTAATATAAAGTTACGTCTGCAAACGAAGGTGTATTTTCACGTACATATATATATATGTATACCTGCAGCGGCTCGACTGACTATCTGGTATCTACCTCAACTACTCGGACCGTTCCCTCCTCCTCCTCCCTTTGATTGTCCGGTCTGATAGCAAACTTTTAACTTTTATACGTGCACACGCGCGCGCTCCTTTATATTTCATGCCAACCAGCCACAGGTCAATCTTTCCTACGTATATCACGTACAGTGAATACTGTATCCTTGACATTCTGTATACACATTTTGCATCGAGATAGACAGCGTGTGGACTACGTGTATTTGTAGTATATCCCGCCGTGGTAAAGAATCCTTTTTTTTTTTTTTTTTTTTTTTTTTATTTCCTCTTTTTTTTTCGCTGCAACAAAAAACTACTGGTGTGTGCTTACACACGTATTGTTGTTTGTTCGACTCTTAACTGTACATTCATTCGCTGCCGGTGGAATACATTTTTGAGGTGTTGGATTTAACAGTAAATTTTGTTCACTTTTCACGCGAGCCGCGCTTCCATAATGGTCCTCGAAACCAAAAAATTTTGCGTCATCCGTTGATAATTGCAAACTGCTTTCGAGGACTGTTGTCTGTAAAAAGCTTCCCCTATGCGTTTTTTTTTTTTTTTTTCCTTGAGTGTAAGTACATACATTGCATAATACTGTGTAGTGTATGAGTTGCCGAGTGTTACACTTGAAAGCTTTTTTTTTTTTTTTTTTGCAGGACGCGATAAGAAATAAAAAATGAAACATTACGAGGCACGAGCAATAAAAATCAGGCATCACCAAATGAAAAAAGTGATTTATTTCGTTTGGTGACTGATGTCTGCAGTGTTGGTCGTGCCTAAAAGAAAGCAAAGCATAATAAAGTAACCCCATGATGTACATAAATATATACATATATATAAATATCTAAAACAGAGCGTGTGCTTGTGTTTGTTTTGGTTGTCGTTGATTGTTACTGTCCCCGTCCAATGGTCGTGAGCAGAAGTCGGGACGAGAAAAATCGCGGGAGTCCGACGTATTTACGGACGCGTTGCTTGAGAACGGGACTTGGGAGACCTTTAGCCCCGACGACCTGTCGGGGGAGCGCATCTTCAGGGTAAGGTCCCACTCTTGCCTCTACCCCGCATACCTTCCTACTACTTATTTGTAATATTGTGACCTACCTATTTTTATAGTTTGCACGTACGTATAATACATATATAGCCCACGCACGAGCTTCACGACACCACACACAATGTGCATGTACATGTAGATATTAACGCCGCGTGTAACGAAAAGCTTCAATGACCCGCGCACGATGGATGGGACGTTATCTCCGTTGTATCTTTCGAGCGAATCCCACGGAGATTATTTCCATACGTATTGTACACTTGAAAAAATTTCAACCCAATGCGGTCGGAGCAGGCCGCCACAATTGCCGATGCGCTCGGGTGCCTCGGAGCCCCGGCTGCCGTCAGCCGCAGAAACAGCCTCCCCCTTCGCTCGATTAGACCCGCGGAGCCTTTGATCGGGGCTGCAGCTTTTTCGGTGCGCGCCGAGCTAACGGACTCGCTTACCAACAGACAAGCCACCTTCCTTCCTCCCCCCTCTCTCTTTTCCTCGCGAATCCACACAAACGTCCTCTCCCTTCCCTTTGCGCGCCCGTGCATGCGGCGCTCAAATCGACCATGCATATTATAACGTTTGCTCGCCTACGTTTTCCAAGAGTCCCTTTGGCCCTTCGATTTTCGGGAGCATTTAATGGAGGTGGGGTGCACCACGAGCTTTGGAATCGCATGCGCTTCGATCCAGCACTCGTTTTTTTTTTTTTTTTTGTTTAATTTATTTGCTCGGCATGACCCGCAACGCTGTAATGTTTTATTCCTTACCCGCAGAGTTTCCTCGTGCACGGAAAAACCGCGACAGCTGTACACATTGTAATATATTATACTTAACATTAGTGTATGCCTATACACACCTCTTACGAGAGTCGATACTTATGCTCGTCATCGATTAACCCTGTACTCTCACGGATAAACTTGATGTCACGCAATACCTATATACACGCACGGTTATCTTGATTAATAATATAATTAAAATAATACGTACATACGGTGGGTCACACACACCCCCCCCCCCTTAGTGTGTGCGTTGTTTGTTGGGTACACGAAAAATGTATCGTCGCTGTTGTGTGGTAGGTATTGGCCCACGACGCCGATACGGGAAATAACGGGAAAATCCAGTACAGCATCAAAAGCGGCAAGGGCAAGGGCAAGTTCAAAATCCACCCGGACACGGGAATGGTTTACTCGCGGCGGGAATTCGAGGCCGGCCAGGAGTTCGACATGATCGTAAGTTGTAATGATTGTTCCTCGCGTCAAAATCACGCGGGTATATACAATACCGATTGACGCAACGATGAAACGTCAATTCGACAGATCCGGGCCGCGGACGGGGGTGAGCCGGTGCGCAGCCACCAGGCGCGAATATCGGTACAGGTGGTCGAGACGCCCAAGGAATCGGCCCACGCGCCCGTCTTCAAGAGCCCCACCCAGAGCGTCGTGGTCACCGAGAGCGACAGCGTCGGCTTCCTCGTCGCCCTCGTGCAGGCCACCGACAAGGACAACGACAGCCTCTGGTACGACATCATAGGTAAGTCCATCGATACCCCACCCCCCTCTACGATAATTATATGGAGAGAAGAAAAGTACCGGTGTAATGGTTGCTGCCGTATAGACGGGGATCCGCGGGACGAGTTCATCGTCGGCAGGGACAGCGGCAACGTGCTGCTGGCCCGGCAGCTCGACTGGGAGGCCCAGAGCTCGTACAACCTGACGATCGCGGCGAGCGACGGGGTCAACGAGGCGCGCGCCACCCTCCTCGTCCGGGTGATCGACGTGAACGACCAGCGGCCCGAGTTCAGCAAACCCGTCTACCGGCTCGAGGTCTCGGAGAACCTCGTCGGCCGGGGCGAGCCCATCCTCCAGCTGGAGGCGCGCGACCGCGACGAGGACGAGCGCCTCTTCTTCTCCCTCCACAACGCCCAGAGTCCCGCGAGTTTGCGCGTCTTCCACGTGGACGGGCTGACCGGCAGCCTCGGTCTCAACGAGCCCCTGGACCGCGAGACCATCGAGACGCACGTTCTCACGGTCATGGTGCGCGACCAGGGCACCCCACCCAAACGGAACTACGCCCGGGTCATCGTCCGCGTCCACGACCACAACGACCACGCGCCGAGTTTCGCGAGCGAGCTCGTCCAGGCCAAGGTGTACGAGAGCTCGCCCGTGGGCGCGGCGGTGGTCCAGCTGGTCGCGGTGGACCGGGACCGCGGGGAGAACGCCCGGGTCAGTTACTCCCTGAGCTCGGGCAACGTCGGCAGCGTTTTCTCGATCGAGCCCGAGCTCGGCATTGTGCGGGTGGCCCGCGAGCTGGACCTCGCCACGGCCTCGGAGTACATACTGATCGTGCGGGCCCAGGACCACGGGAAACCGGCTCTGGGGAGTAGCGTGCCGGTGCACGTGATGGTGACGATGGCGGACAACGCGCCGCCGCGCTTCCTCCGCTCGGAACTGTCGGCGGAGATCTTTGAGAACGAGGAGCCGGGCAGCTCGGTGAGACACGTCGAGGCGCGCTCGACGTCCTCCCTCCACTTTGAGATCGTCGCGGGCAACAACGACGACGCCTTCTTCGTCAATCCGAGCAGTGGCCTGGTCAGCACCCAAGAGCGGCTGGATTACGAGCAGCAGCGCATGTACAATCTCACGATTTCGGCGACAAGCATGGCCGGGGCGGTCGCCACCTCGAGCCTCGTCGTCCACGTGCTCGACCGCAACGACAACGCGCCGACCTTCCTCCAGGCCGTCTACGCTGGCCAGGTGAGTCGAAAAACCATTAATTTGTACTCGTGGTATGTTGGTTTGGACTCACTTCTTTTTTCCCTCTCGATTATACAGGTGAGCGAGGCCGCTGGAGTAGGTTCCTTGGTCTTTGGTGCCAACAGTTCGAGCGCGCCTCTGGTGATCAAAGCGGAGGACGCGGACTCGGGACTGAACGCTCTGCTGGACTACGAGATCGTGGAGGAGCTTCCGCGCAAGTTCTTCCACATAGACTCGAGCACGGGGGCCATTCGCACCGTGATGCTGCTCGATCACGAGGTCACGCCCGAGTTTGAGTTCCACGTGAGGGTTTCGGACCTGGGCAAGCCAAGCCTCTCCTCGGAGAGCACCGCGAGGGTCGTGATCAGCGTGGGCGACGTCAATGATTGTCCGCCAAAGTTCGTCCAGTCGAGCTACAACGTGACGGTGCTGCTGCCCACCTGGAAAAACGTGGCTGTTGTTAAGCTTGAGGCCGTGGATCCCGACACCACCAGTGCCACGGCCGCCGCTACGGCTACCCTCTCCGGCCAACCGATCTTGAGGTATCGAGTAGCTCTTGTCATCGATGACTGGTGAGGGACTCCTTTGTTCGACCCTCCGTTGATTTTTCAGGTACGACATCATTGACGGGAACCAGAACCACGCCTTCAGCATCGATTCTCGGACCGGGGCAGTGACGATCAACAATCCCAGCGACATGAGGAGCGAGTACGTGCTTCACGTGAGGGCGTCCGATGGCGAGTACTCGAGTATCGCCCAGGTCAACGTCGTGGTCGAAAAGTCGGAGAGTTCGGGCCTTGCCTTCCAAAAAGACGTGTACGAAGGTACCGTCGTCGAAAATTCCACGAAAATCACGACTGTCGCGGTTCTCAACGTGCTGGGGACCAGTCTGAACGAGCACGTCGTCTTCACGATACTCAATCCCACCGACATGTTTGTCATCGGACCGACTTCCGGAGCCGTCAGTACAACGGGGAATCGATTCGATCGCGAAACTAGCGACAAGTACGAGCTGATCGTCGAGGCCAAGAGCCAAGTGCCTAAGCAAAGAATTGCTCACGTCATAGTCAACGTCACGGTTTTGGATATTAATGATAATTGTCCCATATTTGTTAACTTGCCCTACTACGCGGTCGCTTCCGTTGACGCGCAAAAAAGCGACGTTATCATCAAGGTAAGCATTGCACTTTACTATAAAAATTGGTTGGGAAAATTTGTAAGTACACGCGTCGTTTGCGACAGGTGCATGCAGTTGATTTGGATAGCGGGGATAACGGGGAAGTCAGGTACGAGCTGAAAAAGGGTAACGGCGAGCTTTTCAAGGTGTCCCGGAAATCGGGGGAAATATCGCTGAAGCAAAATCTCGAGGGTCACAATCGGGAATACCAATTGACCATAGCCGCGTACGACGGAGGTATGTTTCCATCATTTGTGATTGCGTTCGTTGAGTGTAAGGATAAATTACTATTTTTTTATTTATTTATTTTTTTTTTTTCAAAAGGAATAAGTCCATGTTCGGTGGAAGTGCCCGTCAACATCAAGGTCATTGACCGTTCCATGCCAATTTTTGATAAGCAATTTTATACGGATAGTGTTCCTGAAAACATTGAGATTCATTCGCCACTAGCTCTCTCGATACAAGCTCAATCGCCTTTGAATCGAAAACTCATCTACAGCATCCCCAAGGGCAACGACTTTGAAGAATTTGCTCTAGACTTCAACACAGGTGAGATAAGCCTTTACGTTTTTACTTGAAAAAGAAAAAAAAAAAAAAAAAGAATAAGCAGCACGCACGTAAATTTAAATACACGATTATTGAGAAAAAACAAACAAACAATTTAGTTATGTTAGATTCATCGGTTGGGCGTTTACGTTCGTTCGGAACAAGTAACGGATAGCTAGGCGCTCTTTCGATGAAAAAAAAAAAAAAAAGGCAAATTTAAATTTCATCTCTGATTTTTTGTATTTTTTCGTTCGGCAGCCCTCGACAGTAACAATGGTCCCTGTGAGTATAAAAGAAGAAAACACCTTTATCGGTCTATTGTGTTGCTGTATACACACACTCTCATGCTAGAGCGTTGCTACATTTTTCTATTTTGCGCATGATACTTGTTGTTTATTATTTATCAAACATTTCTGTATTTTTTTTTTCTTTTTATAAACGTATTTATTAGATTGAAAATAAGAATTGCATAGAAATTTTGTGTAAGTAAAACACGAGCTTTCTATGATTGAAAAACTCTGACAATTAGCGAGAGATTCATATTACATACTGCATGAATGTCTTTCGACGTTGGAAAAAAAAATCCTCTACGTGTAGGGGAAATAGTTTTTTTTTTTTTTTGCACACTTATTATCACAACCATTATGCTAAAGCATCGGCTGTATTTGCACAAAAAAAAAAAAAAAAAACCACTCACATAATGCCATAGTTATAAAACTCTGTGCTTGTTACAGTCACGCTATTATATTTTTTTGTTCACCCTCATAAGAGCAATGCCGAATCGCAATTTCACCTCATTATTTTCGACTTGCTCGCATTTCATTTCCGCACGTTTTTGGGACGATAAAAAAATTCTTGACATTTGAGATTTTGCATATAAACAAGTAGAAAGTGTATGCAATCGATTCGTGTCTTGCGAGACAAAGAGTACTATCGTTCGTTTTAGTTTGCGAAACGCGAGGCTTACATGTATCTCAGAAAAATGTGTTTGTGTTTGCTCTTTGTTCTATACTGCTTTGTGTGTACTAAATTTTTTCTTCGATCACACGTCAACGGAAAATATTATTGAAAAAATGGACAATCTGCTTTTCGAATAACATTTTCCGAATCACGCCAAAGTGCTCACTTGAAGATATAAAATACACGTAACCAGAAGACGCGGGTAAAAAGTAGACAACCAAAAATATATGCGTTCTCCCTGTGCGCAGGTGTGATCTACGTGGTGGACGAGCTGGACTACGAGCGCAAGAAACAATACGAGCTGACGGTACGCGCGACGGACAGCGTCTCGGGCGTCTACGCGGAGGTCCTCGTCTCGATCCTCGTGCAGGACGTGAACGATTGCCCGCCCGAGTTCGGCCAGGACTCGTACAACATATCCGTCTCGGAGGCAGCGCTCTTCGGCACGGAGCTGCTGCGGCTGAACGTCCGCGACAACGACACAGGCCTGAACGCCCGGGTGCGCTACTCCATCGCCAACAGCACTGGGGAAAACGACTCTGGAGAGGAGGATGCCCACGAGATCTTTCACCTCGAGCCGGACGAGGGAGTCCTGTATCTCAAACGCTCCCTGGACCACGAGGCTGCGCCATCCCACCACTTTACCCTCGTAGCCACGGATCGAGGCGTGCCGGCTCTGTCGAGCACGGCCCACGTTTGGCTGAGCGTCCTCGACGTCAACGACAACGCGCCCCTCTTCGAGCAGCCATCCTACGCCTGCCGGCTCTCCGAGGAGGCCGTTCGGGGCCAGTTTGTCGCGGCCCTGGCAGCTTCCGACCCCGACGAGGTGGGCTTACAATTTAGCCTACAACTCGTGCACTCAACTGGTTATTAAATATTTTCCAACGTGTGTTTTTTTTGTTTTTTTTTGTTTACAGCTTGACGCCGGTAGGTTGATGTACAGCATCGTCGCCGGTAACGACCAGCAGACCTACGCCGTCGAGCCACGCACGGGCATGCTCAGCCTCGTCAACATGCAGAGCTTCGCGGTGGGCCACTCGGCCTCGCTCAACGTGTCGGTCAGCGACGGCGTTTACACGAGCTACGCGCGTCTCAAGATAGATATCTTGCCGGCGAACCGGCACGCGCCCGCATTCCAGCTGCCGCTGCTCGAGGCGTCGGTGCCGGAGAACCAGTTGGCTGGGCGTCTAGTGACCACAGTGCGAGCCGAAGATCGGGACTTTGGCGAGTACGGGACGATCCACTACTCCATTGCTTCGGAACTCATGGCCGAGCTCTTTCACGTGGATCCAGAGAGCGGCCAGGTCGTGACGCGTCGACCGCTGGATCGCGAGCGCCAGAGGCTGTACGAGCTGCCGATTATGGCTAGCGACGCCGGGGGCAAGTCTGGCTTCCAGATGCTGCGCGTCAGAGTTGCCGACGAAAACGACAATGTACCTCAGTTTCTACTCAGCGAGTACAAGGCCTGCATTCACGCGAACCTGAGCGTCGATGCCGTCATTATGAGGCTGAAGGCTCAGGACATTGACGAGGGTGACAATGCGAGAATCGAGTACTCCATATTCGAGTCCCCGGCCTCCAAGAACAAGAGCATCTTTGGCATCAATCCCAGTACCGGAGCACTCGTTCTCAAGGAGAGCGCCCAACAATTTGGTGAGCAAAAATTAAAATACAATCCCAACGATTTATCATGATTTTTTTTTATAAAACTTCTCAACGTAAACCATGACGTTTTTTGCGCAGAGAACCAGATGTTTCAGCTGTTTGTGCGAGCACAGGACAAGGGCTCGATGCCACATCACGTTGACGTGCCTGTAAATGTATTCGTGATGGGCTCTGAGGACGTGCCGCCGCTTTTTGAGGTACGTTGAATCTATTACCGTTGAGATAACTCATCGTCAGTTCTTCAGTCAATGTAGTTTAATCAAATCTTTCAGCGCAACGAGGACAAATTTTTCGTGTCGGAGGCATCCGCGGTCGGAACAACTGTCACACTCTTGAAGACGATAACGGGCGCCAATAGTACGGTCACGTGTCGTCTGATTTCAACGGGCGACAATTTCCCATTCGCCGTCGATCCCAAAACCTGTCGTGTTTACCTTTCGGCGGGTTTGGATCGAGAGACGAAGCAGAGTTATCTGGTAGGCGTGTTGGCCGAGACGGACTCGAGCCCGCCTCTGACTGCACTGGCTGAAATAAGCCTCCAAGTGTCGGACGAAAACGATCACGCGCCCAAGTTCGAGAGCAACCCCTACAGCATCGCCGTGGCCGAGAACATCGACGATAGCACGTCAATTCTGAAGGTCATTGCCCACGACAACGACTTGGGCAGCAACGGGGAAGTTCGTTACTCGCTCGGCTCGGACGTCGGAGAGCTGGCCAATGTGTTCACGGTCGATCCTTACACGGGCTGGATCTCGAATTTGGTGCAACTGGACAAGGAAAAACAGTCAGAGTACAAACTCCAGGTCGTAGCGACGGACAACGGAAATCCGCGCCACTTTGCCCGTACCACCGTGCTGATCAAGTTGAAGGACTACAACGATCATCCGTCCGCGTTCCTGAGCACAAATTACCACACGAGCGTCAAAGAAGACGCCCTACCCGGGACAGTCGTACTCGAACTCACGACCGTCGACAAGGACGTCGACCTCGAAACGCCGCTTGACTTTTACATAACAGCTGGTAATCCGCGCTCACAGTTTGCGATTCGCTCCACCGGGCAGATATACGTAGCCAAGGCTTTGGATCGCGAGACCATCGATCAATACGATCTGACGGTTGTCGGGACCGACGGGAAATTTGTCTTTCAGACTCTCGTCACGATCCAAGTGATGGACGTCAATGACAATCCACCCTACTGTCTGCGATACCGATACAGGGAAGTGCTGTCCGAAGGCGCCCATCCAGGTAGCTACGTTCTTACCGTTCTCGCGACCGACTACGACAGCGAGCCGAACGCGAAACTGCGCTTCTACCTCACCGGCGAGAACAACGACAAATTTTCGCTGGACAAGGAAACCGGGGTGCTCAAGACCGCTGGCCAACTCGATCGCGAGAGCCAAGCAAAGTACGTGCTCACGGCTCACGTGCAAGATCGCAACAAGCCCGCCTGGGAGTGCTCCTCGCAGCTCGAAATTCTGGTCTCGGATCTCAACGACAACGCGCCACGGTTCAGCATGTCGTTTTACAGCGCGATGCTGCCCGAGGACGTCGAGATCGGTACTCTCGTAACCAAGGTTCACGCGACGGACGACGACGTGGGCATCAATCGCAAGATACGGTACGAGTTCCTCGATTCGGCCAACGATCACTTCGTCATAGCCTCCGACAGCGGTATAGTGACGCTGGCCAAGCCTCTTGATCGCGAAACCAAAGCAATGTACAACGTCAGCATCCAGGCGTTGGATCAGGGCACGCCTCAGCTGCAAAACACGACCTACTTGATAATCAACGTTCAGGACATCAATGACAATCCACCAGAGTTCACCTCCAAGTACTACTTTGCTCGAGTGCCCGAGGTCGATCCCGTGGGCACCCAAGTCATTCGAGTTCTGGCTACTTCCAAGGATACGGGAGTCAACGCGGACGTGTACTACTCTATCGTCGGTGGGAACGAGCACAAGAAATTCCAGATCGACAAAAACACCGGGATCGTTTCGATTGCCGATCAACTTGATTACGAGAGAGCAAAGGATTACTTTCTGACCATACAAGCCATAGACGGCGGAACTCCACCCCTGACGAATCACGCCAACGTTAATGTTACCATTTTAGACAGCAACGACAATCCACCGATGTTCAGCCAGTCGTCCTACCGAGCTACTGTAAGAGAAGACGCTGGCGTCGGAGAGAAGGTTGTGCAGGTCGGTTTCTTGTTGTATTTCAATATCGATGACGCATAATACTTTTCAGTGGTTCGGGTGACAACATTTTTTCATTGTTCGTAGGTATTGGCAAACGATCTGGACAGCAACGAGAACGGCCAAGTCAACTACTCGATCGAGCGGGGTGACCGCCAGAAGCAGTTTGCGATAAACTCTGCCACCGGTGAGATCACAGTGCTCGGGGAACTGGACCGCGAGAAAATGGCTAGCTACGCCCTGGAGGTGCACGCCCGTGACAATGGCATTCCCACCTTGTCGAACTACGTGATCGTCAACGTTGAAATTCTAGACGCCAACGACAACCCACCTCTCTTCTCGAAGAGCAACTACACGGCCGTGGTTCAGGAGGACAAGCCCCAGGGCTTTGTCGTGCTCCGCCTCAACGTTACGGACGCGGACGTGGATCCGAACGCTGGGCCTTACGCCTTTGACTTTCGCTCGGGCAACGAGGGCAATGCCTTTCGACTTGAACAGGACGGCACCCTGCGCACCGCTACCAAATTCAGCAACCGTTTCAAAGACAAGTACCTACTGAGCATCCGCGTTTTCGACAACGGCAGCCCGCCTCTCTTCTCCGATACTTGGGTGCTCGTTCAGATAATCGAAGAGTCCCAATACCCGCCCGTCATCAGCCTTTCGGAGATCAACATTAATTCGTACATGGATGAGTACCCGGGAGGCCCGATTGGCAAAGTACACGCCTCTGACAAGGACCACTACGACACGCTTACATACGGCCTGGTGCCAACGTCTCCGACCCGCCCCAACAACGAGCTCTTCAAGATAGACAAGAGAAACGGCACGTTGTTCGCGATGCCGGGTCTCGACGTGGGCGAGTACCGCGTCAATGTCAGCGTCACCGACTGCAAGTTTACCTCGTACTCGATCGTCAAGGTGAGCGTGGAACTAATCACAGACGTCATGCTAGAGAACTCGGTGATTGTGCGCTTTCGCGAGGTCTCCGCGGAAGATTTCATCATGAAGCATCGAAAAGGATTCGTACGCACGGTAAACAATGAAACCTTGTGGTAAAATTGATTAATTTATTTATTCGACATTTTTTCATTAACTTGTTTTTTGTTATGCAGGTACGCAACGCCATGAACTGCCGAATTAAGGACGTGGCCGTGCTCAGTGTGCAACCGTCGACGGATTCCGAGATGAACAACGTCATCAAGACTCGTCCCGTCAGACAGGCGACGACCGTAGTACACAGCGATCTCGATGTGCTCTTTGCGGTGAGGAAGTCAACCAGCCCGAGCGAGTTTTACGGCTCCGAGAGCATTCGCGAGGCGCTTAATCAGCGCATCGATGAGCTCGAGGCCTCGACAAAGCTCGTTGTCGAGGAAATCGTGAGAAAAAAGTGCAGCAAGAGCTACTGCGTCTACGGCGAGTGTCACGACAGGATTGTCCTCGAGCCACGGCAGATCCAGCCCATCGTGGCCGACGCGGTGAGCTTCGTGACACCCAAGCATCGACACCGCACCGACTGCAGCTGCAAGGAAGGCTACGCCGGCTCGCATTGCGAAATAGTCGTGAACGAGTGCGCTCGCAGTCCCTGTCCCGTGTTCAAGGTCTGCGTACCTGATTCATCGCTACAGGGCTACTCGTGCCAGTGCCCCGGAGGCTTTGGCGGTCAGGCCTGCGACATTGACATCTCGCGCTGCCACGACGAGTCCTGTTACATTCCGCTCTACCCGGTTTCCTTTAGCGGCAAGAGTTACGCGCGCTACCGCATCGACAAGACCCTCGTGCGCCAGACCATCGAGGACCGGCTGAGTCTGTCGCTACGCATCCGCAGCCTCCAGCCCAGTGGCAGCCTCATGTACGCCGCGGGTAAGGTCGACTACAACGTCCTCGAGATCGTCAACGGGGCGGTGCAGTATCGGGTAAGTCGTTTCGTTGCACGCGCATAAAGTTTTGTGAACCTCATTAAAATACCTCCATGTATTTTATATGTCGTTTTACAGTTTGACTTGGGCAGTGGTGAGGGTATCGTGCGCGTCAACACCTTTTACGTGAGCGACGGACAGTGGCACGAGATCAAGCTCGAGCGCGAGGGGAACAGTGCCAGCCTGAAGATCGACGGCAGGCACGTGGCCCATGGCTCCGCGCCTGGCACCAGCGGCATCCTCAGCCTCCAGTCGGACGAACTGTATCTTGGTGCTGAGGTACGCCAGCACCCCTCGATCATCGGCTTCGAGGACGTGCAGCGCGGCTTCATTGGATGTATGGACGACGTTCTCATCGGTCGGGTATCCGTGCCTCTACACATGAGTGGCTCTGCCAGCGGTCTAGTAGTCTTGAAGCGCTTTGCAAACGTGGAGGTACATATCTAATGATTACATTCATTTCCATTTCTATTCATGTATAATTAAAAAAAAAAAAAAAAAAAAAAAAAAAAAAAAAAAAAAATTCTTCATGAATCTGTGTACCAAACAGTTCAGTTGCGAGGCCAGTGCGGTGCTGGCTACCCCTGGGGCCTGCGGCTCTCAGCCTTGCCAGAACGGTGGCACCTGCTCCGAGAGCAAGACCGAAGACGCCGGCTACGAGTGCCAGTGCCACACACGGTTCCGGGGTCCGAGCTGCGAGATAGATACCGATCCCTGTGCTTCCTCGCCTTGCCTCTACGGTGGCCGGTGTCGGGTGCTCCGCGAACCCGGAGAGTTTGCTTGCGAGTGCGTGACCGGTCTCTCGGGCAAGCGCTGCGAATTCGGCAGGTACTGCAACCCGAATCCCTGTCTCCACGCAGGCGTCTGCGAGGAAGGCGACAGTGGTCCTCTTTGCAAGTGCCAGGGCTTCGCGGGTGAGCACTGCGAACTCGACGTGGACGAGTGCGAAAAGAGCCCCTGCTCGAACGGCGGTACTTGCGTGAACGAGCCCGGCTCCTACCACTGCGTCTGTCCACCCGCAATGACCGGATTGGACTGCGCCAATCCCGCTGGCTACAGCACGGCCCTCATAACCAGTCATCTGCGCGTCACCTGGGAGCAGCTCATGTGGATCGGGCTCGCCGTCCTGGCCAACCTCTTCCTCATCGTGCTGTTTGTCGCGTTCCGGAGCATTCGCGGCAAGAGGTCGCGCACGAGAGAAGCCAACAACATCAACAACGAGACCAGGAAGCAGATCGTCCTGAATTCGGCCAGACCCGCGAACGAGCACGAGTACAAGCGCAGCTCCAAACTCAGCAATCTCGAGGTCGTGCAGGTACGTCTTTACACATAATATGTCCATAAGTATGTCCCTCCTCTTACCGTTTTATTTTTGCTCGATTGCGTTTGCTCGTTACGATTATATATCAATTAGTCGAAACCGCTCCGCTTGTTCTGGCTGGCTGTATGGTTGACATAGCGAGTTGATTTTTGTTTCTTTGCAGAGAGAATGTCCTCCCCAGTGTCCTCCCCGTCCCGTATCCTACACCCCGTTGACCAACAACGAGCAGGTACTGCTGGGCTGCAGTAGTAGCGCGGCCGTGGCCCTGAACAACCTCGATACCTTGCGTAGCTACGGCAGCGCCGGAGACGAGCTCGAGAATTTCCCACCGGATTACTTGCGCAACTTGAACCGCAGCACGCCCGTCCCGCCACCGGGTTGCACGATGCCGACGAGCGCCAACGCCGGCAATCCCCTCAACGTGGACCTCGTGCCCATCGAAAAGCCCAGCTGGCAGGAGCAGATGCATCTCGCCTCGTTCATCAGCGACTCCAACAAAATCAAAAACGGTAAGTCAGCGACCCGTCCCTCTATATCCGTCCTACCGTCTATAAACGTACATAATAACCACTCCTCATCGATTTTGCGCTATTTTTTGCGTATACTTTGCACATCACAAGTTTTCTTTTTCTTTTGCACCGTATACCGTATTTGTAGCTATTTTGTTGTATTTATTAGTGTAATTTTGTTGAGAATAAACTGCAATTTCGTTTGATCTTCATTCACATTTGTCTACGACAAGTTGACAATATGACATATAATTAATTAACCATTTGAAACAGACCTGAAACGAGCTAGCCCAGTGGTACCAGAACCGACCACTGGAGGACTTTTACTGAATCCGATACGCCGAGCGACCACGGCTACACACGGGGGTGGCACCTCGATAGCCTCGCTTTCCTCGATCGAGGACGATCCTCGTATCGTCGGTGGTAAGTAGTTTTTCGTTCGGCCTAACTCATTTGAATTCACACTTGATTGTACACATACACAGCCCGACAGCTTCGATTTCCAACATATATACTTATTCTCCAGTCGCGTTGTTTGGAATTAGACGAGCTGTCTCGCGGTCGCGAAGCGTTTTTCAGTACATTTGTTGTCTGCAACGTTTTCAGGTTACCACTGGGATTGCTCAGATTGGGTCCGACCGAGTCAAAATCCCCTGCCTAACATTACGGAAGTACCGGGGAGCGAAGTGCCCGATTCTTCCAGTTTTCACAGTAACGAGAGTAACGAGTCCAACTCTCATCAGATGCCTCTGCGTGAGTACAAATTTTATCACTCCTAGAAGAAATATATTTCCGATGGATGAATTTATTTTTTTTTTTTTTCGTCATAAGTGAAAGGTCCCGTAGACCCGACGCGTGACATCGAGACCCTCAACGAGGATCAGGAGTCAGAGTACGTCGGCGACTCGGAGTGCGGCACCGATCTGTCCGACCACTTCCTATCGCACAAACAGCAGCAACAGCACTGCCTCTCCGAGAGCCAGCCACTTAACCCGCTGGACAGCGGTGGCGAGGCCGAGTACAAGTACAAGAGCTCCGAGAGCTACCTTCGACACCCCAACTCCTACCTACCTCACTACAACATTCACACAGATACGGAGAACGAGGGCCTGGCGACGATACCGTTGAACGGCAATTGTCTTGGAAACCTCATCTCCGACGATGACGAGCTGGATAACGAGGAGGAGGACGACGACGATGACAATGTAGTGCCTTATGGTTTTCCGAGCGTGCGGCGCAACCGTTGCCCTCGCAAGCGCCTCGGCGACAACTCGGAACTCGACTCGGTGCTCACGAGCTTCGAAGAGAGAAATTCGCTTCTTGGGCCTGCGAACAACAGTAATAGCGACCTCTCTACGAACCTCTGCGAGATCGATGACTCCGAGTTCGAGATCGCCCAGCAAAAGAGCAACGGCCGGGCTTGGCTCGCGACCGGCGGGGTCACGCAAACCTCCGTCTGACCAACTGCCCTTTCGTTCGTTCTGAGCTGCACGTTGGCCGTTCACTGTAAATATCGCGTAGTCTATAATATACTACTTTAGACGCATGCAGCTATTGCTGCGCTAGAAAATTCGAAACTCTGTACAGTCCGCGCTTCTAGTGATTTAAAATTTATACACACATAAGTCTATTTTTTGCTTTCTCTCGTGTTTCTTGTATTTCTCGACGCCGTGTTTTTAAGAACAACTCTTCGTTTTCAGTACTTAATAAAGAGAAAACACTTAACTTGGCTGAGCTTTTACTGCAAGCGACGCTGTGTAAAAAGACTAAGTTTGATAATTTTTTTTACGACGTGCTTTCATGATTTACATAATTTTATACATAATGATGAAACTTGCGACGTAAAAATGTGATGATAATAATGCTGATTAGTTTATGATTAAAATGCCATGGCGATAGTGTACAAATGCACATGGAATTTGAACATGGTTGTTTCCACCTGTTTATCTGGATGAATGATACATGTACTATATCTAAATATCGTAAAGCACCTACTGCCTTACTCGAAATATCTCAAACTATTCCAATGTACATAAAAATACAAGGTGCTGTACTAAGAATTTTTCAAAAATCCATCATTTCTCTCTTCAAAAGACTGGCTACAAATTCCTATTATTGCACTTGAATACTGCTAATTTTGTTATACAACAAATTGTAAGTACATTACTTCCGTAATATTAATTTTAAAAATTAAAAAGAGTTATAAAATATTTCGATTCATTCCGAAGTATTAATTTGTTGCATTACAATTTTATTTATTAAAATAAGCGTCATCAAAAGCAGCTTCGTTAGAATTCAGATATAATTTATACGTATTTTTACGTATGTGACATACAATGTTGTGACCTGTAAATGATAAAAATGATCAAAAATAAACAATTGTTTTTAATTTTCAAACCTCCTTTATTCATGCAATCTCCCTCACTCCACCTTAATTCATCCCTATAGCGTCACTATATAAAAGATTGACACCATTTTGCACTGATGAAAAAAAAGAAAAACCTGTTCTTTGGAGCAAAAGGAGAAGAAATTAAAAAAGAATGAAGTTGTAGAACTTTCGTTTTTTTGACGAAAAAAAAGAAAACCTAGGGAAATGCCGAAAAATTTCGTGAAAAACTTAATCTAGTCGAATGTTATCGGATCGAAATTCCTTACATGCAATTTTTAAAGTCCAGGCAATCAAGGACTTGGGTGGCAGCAGTAAACCATATTAGCTACCAAGCGTTGATTGTTCTATTCATTATAACAAGTCGAGCGCGCCTTTTAAACCAACCGAGATTGTTTATTATATAACCGATGTAGTTTAGTTTAGATCGCTTCTATAATATACATCATTTAGTAAAGAGCTAAGCGGATTTTTAAAACAACTCAAGTCAGCAAGAACTAACAATTGTTTTCTGTTATCTAAAACACGACAAAAACAAAAAGAAACTCTCTCTCCCATAGCTTTCACGTATTTATTAGTTCAGCCTTTACTTATGTACCCATGCGCTTTTACCCTGACATGCATGATTTGTGAGATAATTACAAAATGTTCAAAAAATCACCATTTATTCTGTATAAAAATTTTTTTTTCAAATTAAACATTAAAATATTTACAACATAAAGTTTTCATTACTTAATCTACATTACTTTTCATTAAACTTCTTGTCAAGGATCATCGTTAACAGCTGATTCATAGAAATAAGTAACCCTTTGGAATCATCGACAAGACCAGCTGAGACCATGGCGTTCATGAAGAGCTAAAAATACCAAATTTTTTATTTTGCTTAAATTTGTGATACAATCATTTATAAAGTTCAGTAGTACCTGCTCAGTTAAACGATCAGCAATCGGTTTATCCGTCTCAGTTAGTTTTTTGAGATTTTTTATCAAAGGATGGTTAGGATTTATCTCCAAACGTGGCTGAAGAAGACTATAGCGCATTTCATCACTCAACTGGTAACCTTGCGATCGAATAAAGTGTCTAGCATTTGCCATGTCCTGAACCGTGACCACGCAAGGGTGATTCTCTAAACGGTCCGTAATTTTGACATCAAAAGCCTTATTCTTTAAAATACTTTTCATGTAGGAAAGAAGTTCTTCATCTTTGAATAGTTCTATTGAAAACACGATTTATGGAATCAGTCTTGATTGGTAAATACCATTTATAACTACCACTCATTTTTACCTGTTTTATCTGCTGGCTCCGTATTTTGTCGCATCTCTTTTTCGACAGATATTACATCAAATGATTTGAATTTTTTCATATGCATGAAGATTAGTTCATCATAAGGTTCATAACAGAACAATACTTCTACGTTGCGTTTTTTGAACGACTCAAAGTATGGCGAATTCTCAGCTAAAGTTCGGCTGTGGATTAAAAAAATATTGATTATACATTACTCATAATGATTAAAAATAATCAGTCAAATATGTATTAAAAATTTACTTTGGAGCTGCTAAATAATAAATATATTTTTGACCCTCTGCAAGTCTTTCACAGTACTCCGGAAGGCTTAGCACTTCACCAGGTGGTTTATTAGAAGATTCAAATCGTAAAAGCTTGCTTATTTCCTCCTTTCATAAAAAAACGAATCAATTAAAAAATGGCATTAAAAAAAAAAAGAATAAAAAAAATTACCCTTCCAGTATCATCCGTGCTGGTTACGATGCCTTCTTTAAAAAAAGTATTGTAGTCTCTATAAAACTCGAGGTACTCTTCAGGATGTTTTTTCGCCTGTTCTTGCAAAAATCTAACGACTCGAGTAGTTATGACATCCCGTATTTTTGAAATCAATGCGCTATTCTGCAATAACTCTCTACTTAAATTTAGTGGAATATCTTCTGAATCTACAACTCCCTTTAAAAATCGAAGGAATTTTGGAAGTATATTTTCAGCTTTATGTTGAATCAACACTTTTCTACTGTACAATGATACACCAATTGAAGCATCCCTCGTCATTTCAAAAAGACCTGGTTTGGTTTCAGGAAAGTATAGCAGAGCACGTATACTGATGGGAACGTCAGTGGAATAATGTAAAGTAAACCGAGGGTTATCGTAACAATTGCTGATAAAACGATAAAATTCAGTGTGTTGTTCTGGTTTTACATCTTTAGGGTCAAGAGTCCACAACGCCTGAAAGAAAGAAATAAATAAGCCATATTATTTAAAATTGATTGTATTCAATTTTCTGATTTAATCGTACCTCTATCGTATTGGCTCGTTTTCCATTCACAAAAATAGGGCTTCCAACAAAATTACTGTACTTCTTGATGACAGCTAAAAAAAATAATTTAAAAATTGTAACAGTGATAAAATCAAATACTTTTTACCTACCATTTACAGCTATATCATCGCTGAATTCCCGAGCGTCGGGGCGCAAATGTAAAACAATTTTTGTTCCTGGTTGGACACCTTCTGCATTTGAAATCTCGTACGATCCTGACCTACAAAGTATAATTTTATTATGAGCAAAATTACTGAAAAATTCATGACCATTAATGGTCCGTAGTTAAATTACCTACCCGTCAGAAACCCAATAGAGGCTTTCTGAATCCTTTTTGTACGATTTTGTGAAAACCTCGACTTTATCGGCTACCATAAAGGAACTGTAAAAACCAACTCCAAATTGACCAATAATTTTCGACGCTTCATCCGCGCCTTTTTTTTCGCTCAATTGTTCCAAAAACGCCTATTGCAAATTATTGTTGAAATGAAATCATTAAAAATAGTGATCCTAACAATAATTAGTACCTTTGATCCTGAACGAGCGATCGTTCCTAGATTTGATATTAATTCTTCTCTAGTCATCCCTACCCCTGTATCTTGAATAATCAATAGACGATTCTGTTTATCAGTAGCTATATGGATTTCAAAGTTCCTGTCTCCTCCTTCATCAGCAGATAAATTTTCAACTAGGCTTATATGTCTTAACTTTTCCAAGGCATCACTTGCATTGGAAATTAATTCTCTGATAAAGACCTTTAAAACATACATATATGTACACAATGAAACATTTTATAAATAATAAATTGTGTTTACCTCCTTATCAGAGTACAACGATTTAGCAACAATATTCAGTAACTCTCGAGTTTCTGACTGGAATTCATGCTTAGCTGTTCCACCTATTGGAAAATAATAGCAGTTTAAGTACAATCTTCATCATTTTAATGTAATCATTGAGTGAATGTTACAATTGGGTATTTGAATGACGAAATACCTATAGCCTTTTCGGTATCTTTAATAATATTGTGCTCGTCTGGTTCTGAACTTTGTGGTTCTGCTTGAGAAGAGAGAAATCTAGCTTGCTTAAATGGTGTTGCTGCAATAAAAACAAAAATTTTAGTGTAACTGAAAGAATATTTTTGTAAAAAAAAAAAAAAAAAATCAATACTATAACCTCATCTACAATGGAACTTTCGAAAAGACAAAAATATGTTTACTCACGCAATGCATTTTGCCGGTACTTTGTTAAGGATCGTTGACCATTAGTTTTGTTAACTAATGCTGACGATGGAAAGGAAATCGAGCATTTTCCTAACCGGAGTACACGGTGGAACCTCAGCACGGCTGCCATTTTTCAATTATCACGAATCACGATCGATCATCTGACTGATGGCGGTGTAGTGCGGTGTCCACCGCACACGTGCGCGCTAGCAGAAGTTATTTAACCATAACAAAGGTTATAACTGCATTGCTTTGGTCTTTCAACTTGTCATAATATAAAAATATAAATGATATAGTTGTATAAAATCAACAATGGAGTCACAATACAAGTATGTATATATTTTATTCTGATTCTCTAAAAAAATATTTACGTGTTACACTGTTGCATACAAATTGTTTTTTTTTACAGGACAATTCATCCAGCAAAGTATCTCCGCGATCACTTTGTTAGTATAAAAAGTATCAAAGAAATGTACCTTTACTTTGCTTGTACAACAAAATTTTTACAACTTTTCTTTTAGGCCTCAAACATAAGACCCGACGGTAGGGACTTTACAACGTTCCGTCCAGTGAGCCTAAACATTGGTTCCATCACACAAGCTGACAGTTCAGCTGTTATCAAAATTGGCAACACGGCCGTTGTTTGTGGGATCAAAGCCGTAAGTGTTTTGAACATTTGATGATTAAAAGTTGTTAAAGATTTAAAATGAGTCGTATTGTACCGCAGGAATTGGCTACCCCCAAAGCTGAAGCACCTGATTGCGGCTTTGTTATTCCAAACGTGGAGTTGACGCCCCTGTCATCGCCGAAATTTCGTCCTGGGCCTCCAGGTGAAGAAGCCCAACACACAACAAAGCTTGTAGAGAGGATCCTATTGAATTCTGAAGCTATAGATTTGAAAGATCTATGCATATGTAAGGATAAACTTGTCTGGGTGCTTTATTGTGATCTTATTTGCGTAGATTACGATGGCTCCGTGGTGGATGCATGCATCGGAGTTTTGATGGCAGCTCTGAAAACTTGTAAGTACTCAGTCGTTTCAAAAACACACAATAGCATTTCTCTTATTTATTGTGCTGATTCTCTTTGTTGCAGTAACTCTGCCAGTTGTGGAGTACACACCGGAAACTGGTGCCACCAAAGTGGATCCTAATAACAGAATCAGTATACCTCTAAGGCAATTAGCTGTTAGTAGTACGTACGCTATTTTTGAAGAGTAAGTAATTTCTTTAGTAGTCTAGAAATTTGTAGGTAAACAGAATAGGACATACTTTATGTATGGAATGATTTTTTTTAGCCAACTACTCGTGGTTGATCCTACGGAAGATGAGGAAAGTCTCTCTTTAAGTACCTTAACTATAGTGTGTACGGAAATAGATATGTGTTTTATGCACAAGTCAGGTGGAGTTCCAATTTCCATTAACTTGCTAAACAAGTGCATATCGAAAGCAAGGAGTCATGGAAAAAAAGTAAGAAAATTAATACTGGCCGCAGTTTCGACGATAACGGATGACGTAGGTTAAAAATAAGTAAAGACGTAAATAACTTTTATTTAAATTTTAATTAACTGTACGTTTTATAAAAAATGTTGTACAATCAATGGTAACATGGGAGACAATAATCGAATAAAAAATACGAGCAGATTTCTTAAATTTATGGACTTAATTGTAATTACCACTATCTTAGTATAAACATGTTTTTTTCATAATTCTCAGAAATTCCTCTTGAGAAATTTCTCCATCGCCATCCCTGTCAGCTTCATCAATCATTTCTTGTAATTCCTCATCCGTTAAATTTTCTCCAAGTTCCTTGGCAACTCTCTTCAAGTTTTTAAACGTTATTTTACCTGTGTTGTCATCGTCAAACAAGCGAAAAGCTTTTAAAACTTCATCCTTGGAATCCTTTTCTGCCATCTTAGTGGACATGAGATCCAAGAATTCTTCAAATGACAGTTTCCCAATACCGTCGGGATCAACGTTGGCAATGAGTTTTCTGATTTCGTCCCTTGTTGGTTCAAAGCCAAGCGCTCGAATCGCCACTTTTAACTCTCTAGTTGCAATTTTTCCAGTTCCATCGGGATCAAAAAGATCAAACGCCTCTTTGATATCAGCTTTTTGTTCTTCGGAAAGTTCAAATTTCGCAAAAGGCTTTTTCCTGGATAGCACTGCAATAGTTGTTTTTTTTGACAGCTAAAAAAATTTATATTAAATTTACCAAGTATCAACAATAGTTAATATGCGATGCACAAATACATGACAAAAGTTAACTTAAACTTGCCATTTTTTGCGTAATTATTGAATTATGAAAATTATATTGTACGTATGTTTTGTACTATCACGGTCAGTTCCTAACATCGATTTTTGTTGTCATGCATCTATTTTCGTTGCTATAGCATGTTGCTAATGAATCATATTCATATGCGATGTTATGATTGTTCAATAACACCCCCGCAACTTACCTTATGATTATATTGTTGTCACTATTCGTGATTGACTTCACTAATAAAAAAACGATTCTTCTTTTCTGTCAAACTGATACTTCAAACATTCACTACTCAATAGTTTAATGATACGCAATATTTGAAATGATGTATTGTTTGAATTGACGCATTTGTGTTTATGTTTATGATGATAATGGCGGCAAGGTTGTCTCTCTGTCGTCTGCTTGGCATATATTGCCATATATATATCGTACACGTGCGTGTATTTGTGTTCTCGTTTTTCTCTCCGTTTCGATCACGCATTTATATATATTTTTTTTTTATCAAATAAATAATACATAATTAGCCATGTATATTCGTTGATGTGTTTGAATTTAACAAAAAATTAACGACGCATGGTAGTAATATTTGGAATCGAATCACAAAAATTATTATGTTATTTCACTTTGGCATACATTAAATAATAATATAAAATGTCATCCAACGCAAAAATCAAAAGATCCACTTTGCCAGGCATACCTGGAACCAAACCTGCAACTAGCAATGCACAACTTTTAGTTTCTACAGGTATTCCATCACTCGACCAGTTCATAGGTATGTTAATGATTGCAATGTTTATCTTGATAAAGTACATTAATAATAAATTGATAGCATAATTTGTATTTTTTTTTTTTACACTTTTACCAATTAGGTGGTGGTCTGCCCATTGGATCAATTCTTTTGCTTGGTAATAAATTGATAAATAATAAATATGCTAGTCTAGAAATCGTGACGTCACAAAATTTTTTCGTTTATTTTAGAGGAAGATGCCTACAACACGTATTCAAAAATAATGTTCAAATATTTCATTGCTGAGGGAATAGTCAATAATCATTCAATATTCTTAGCTTCTCAGGACACAAAACCATCAAATATACTATCCGATTTACCAGCCCCTGTGAGTACAGAGGTACCTCAGGCAAAAAGTATTAGTACAGATAAAAATGATGAAATGAAAATTGCGTGGCGCTATCAAAATATGAAGGTCTGTGATTCATCTTCAAAGGATGTTTCAGTGTTTGGGCACTATTACGATCTTACAAAAACAATGGAAAGTGCAACTTTGGATGGTGCAGATGTTACAAAGTGGGATGGCGAAAACATTGAATTGAAATCTGTTGTTTTTGAAAATCAAGTTTACATGGATTTACTGTTAAGCATTGAAAAGACTATAAAAGAAGGAAACTTTTTTGTTTCCCAAGAAGTGAAAAAAAGAAATATTTTACGGATTTGCATCAGTTCTTTAGGCTCCAGACTGTGGCTGTGTGATTCGGAAGAACAAACCAACAAAGATCTTTTAAAATTTTTATACATGTTTAGAACCCTATTGAGAGAATCTTTCACAGTTGCCATCCTAACAGTCCCTGTTCATAATTACAATGATCATTCCGTAAGTTGAAAAAAAAACCTATTCTGTACATAAAATTCTGTGACCTAAAAAAAAAAGTAAACCATCTATTTCAGACTGGAGTCATACAGAGAATAGAGCATCTGTCAGATGTAGTGATTGGCATAGAATCCTTTGTTGGCTCGACAAAAGAAACCAATCCTGTTTTCAAGGACTACCACGGCCTGTTACATATAAAGAAACTTCCTGCCTTCAACACACTAGTGTGCCACGAATTGCTATTCTCCGATTTGGCGTTCAAACTGCGTCGAAAAAAGTTCCTCGTCGAGGTGATTATATCTATGCTATGGAAAAATTAAAAATTAAATTCCTGTACAAGGCAAGCGTACTTATAGTAGTAATATACGTGCAAAATTTATTGCAGGTCTTGCACTTGCCACCCGAACTTGGAGATACGACTCAGAGAGAGCAGGACGAGGTTCCAACAGTCGGCTGTGGAAAGTCATCGAGCGGGCATAAGTTGGACTTTTGAATAAATAACAATATTAAATAACGTGAGTGCAACGCACGTTCTATCTGCGCAGAGGCGTGCACCACGAAACACGAAACGCAGCGGCGGCGGCGAAAATTAACGCAGATACACGCCCCATTTATGGACTGACCGAAGAAAGAACCAGAGCAAAAGAGTTGAATAAATGCAAAGGCAGGAGATAGGCTTGTTGAGCATTTACAATGCAATCCGCACCGGAGCGCGAGCCTGTTGTACGCGTGAAAAGTGCACCGCGTGGCTGAACTGATTTCAGAGAGAGTCTGTCGATTTTCCACGCTTTTCATCTCCAGTGCCTATACATTTTTACACTCACTCCTGTTTCGACATCTCTACCTGTTTGGGCCATGTATATTTTTCTACAAAGCTGATTTTGAAATAAATATCAAATTGATGTTGAAATTTAAAAAAAATGGCCAATCATTGATTTAAAATCCTTAGAAAAAAAAAAAAATCGATAAAAGCCCTACACTGATACCGGCAGTTTTTCATCATTGCACATTGTTTCGCTGAGCTGAGCTATTTCAAACAATGTCATCAAAGTTCGAATTGTAAAGAAAGAAAGTACAAGCACAAGTGTGTAATGTATACGTAAACGCGTGTTTTTTTTTGCCAACGATGAAAATGCAATTTTGTTACGACGTGTAGTGTTTTTTTTTTTTTTTTTTTTGATCCCGATAAAGAGCAGGTGTGCGTGGCTGGGGAAGGAGGGCACCGCACTCCCGTGTATAAACGCGTTCATATGTGCCTTGGAAAAAAAAAAAAAAAATGTTATGCAGAGCACACGGGACGTACAAGCAAAGGGGGGGGAGAGTACCATTGCGAGCGAGACGCACTTCCTTCCGTTTTCGTTGTATTCCCGCCCCCGACGGCCCGTCGCGCTTCGCGTAACACAGGTATAGAGAGAGGAAACTCGGCCGCGCGCGCCTTCCGAATAAGCCCGACAAAAATCGTTATACGCCGGACAGACATGAAACGCTCATCACCATCGCCATGTCATTCAAAGTCCTTTTATTTATCATCATGTTTTTAATTGTTAATTAAAGGACGACCGGGATACTCTCGTGTACACTTATCTCGCGTGTGAGCGCGTGCAGTCATGTTTTGGTAGAAAAGTTCGATCGAGCGCTGAAGGTGCGCGATGAGCGATCGGTTTACACTTTGAGGACCCAGAGATTCGGCTTCTTCGAAAATGCGGCCGGAAAGACAATTGGGTCTCCCGAAGGCCTTCATGTGTTGTTCCAACATAGTTTTTTTGGTAAGTGGGGCGCGACAAATCTATATACATTGTATGATGGGGGGTGATTGATAATCACACAAGCGGCTAACAAGAAAATCGTTATTTCAGATGTCGGGTTTCGCGCTCATGTCGCTCGGCGCGATTTTGTTGATCGACAGCGACAGGATACTGTTGTCGCGGCTCATCGGGACGAACGACGTTTACCCGGAACAGCCGCCCTTTTACTACGCGGCCCTCGCGGTCGTGGCCATCGGCTTTCTCATTGCAATAGCCGGACTCCTCGGGTGTTGGGCCTCTTGCCTCCACAACTGCTGTATCACGGCATCGGTAAGTTACACATTTATACACCCAACCCTTTTAAATTGTGAGATTGTGAAACAAACTAACGTAAATTGTACGTGTACACCCATGGATTTCAGTACGTGGGGTTGTTGATGTTGCTCGTGATGGGCAAGTGCGGGCTGGTGGTGCTGGTAGTGTTCTGCCCGGATCGACTGGGCGTGGATTTGCAGCCAGGACGGCTGTTGCGCGCTCTGCAGCGTACGTACGCCCTACCCAGCCACGAGCAATTCACCGCTGCCCTGGACCTCGCCCAGACCGCGGTGAGTTTTTTTACTCGTTTTCCTTTGAATCAATTTTATCCGCCATAACGCACGTATACCTGATTCTATTGGATTTCTCGTACGATACATGGGTTGGCCGACAGTTTTCGTGCTGCGGCATCAACGGGAGCAACAACTACGGCTCGTCCTGGTGGCGGCTTCAGGAGTCCAGGTACGTAAAACCCGTGTTGCATGTGTATAATGGCAAACAATACAATCAAGTATACCATTGTTAAACACCAAACTTTGTTTTTTCACCAACAAGTGATTTTTATATTAATAATCATGAAAAGTATTTTATGTTTCTCGTTGTATGTTTGCGCATTGAAAAGAAAGAAAAAAAAAAAAAAAAAAAAAAAAATTAGTACTTACTTGGTCGGGTTTGATTGATGGCTTTTGCGTATAATTACACAGTAGACGCGATTTTGTCGTCCCGTTGAGCTGCTGTATCCTGAACAACGCCCACGAGCAGGATGGATTTCTCAACCCGGAGCCGAGAAACCTCAGCCTTTGCCAGGCTCTCAACCCCGCGGAACACCAGCAGGCGCGCCACAGTCCCGTACGTATACACACACGTGTATATAATTACCTACAACCCACCGTGTTTCCTGATAATCATCGTACCGTGTGTAATTAACGCATGTAAAACAAAACCTTTCAGGGCTGCATGCCAACGATCGAAGCCTGGCTGCAGGAGCAAGTGCTCATCCTCCTCGCGGTGGTCCTGTGCGTGATCCTGGTCGAGCTCTGCGCTCTCCTGAGCACAGTGTTGGCCTGTTCGCAACTCAAGAGGGGCAACGGACCGAGCCGACGCCCCTGCCCGGGTATGAGCAAGCCCCGCGGTCCGTCTTCCTCGGCCAGCTGCTTCACCTCCACCCAGACGCTCAGCCCCTTTTGCAATTCAACCGCCGAGCACGAGCAACAGGATTACGGTATCGTCATTTCCACATCCCTATATCACTGATATGACGACTCCGTTACCCGTTGCCGATCGTTGATTGGGTGTATACATTGTAGCAGCGCTGAGCTGCGAGGGCGCGGCGAACCGGCTGGCCATCATACCCGGCGGCACCTTCGCCGGCAAGTCCTGAAGGTGGCTCGAGGACAGCGAGAACAATTTCACGAGGCGTGTAAACGAGGCTCGCGATCATGACGGAGCAGAGACGGTGATTGTAGCCGACGACCAGAGCAGCGACGCCCACCGGGTGACGGAGCGAGATCGACTATTTTGGGCCCCCCACATGCCCGACAAGCCCAACAATAATTGTACCCCGCCCTCGTCTTCCGAGAGGGAGGAGAGAGCTCTGCTGACGGTCAAGTCGTTCCGTGGGAAATGTGCCCTCGACGGCGGGGATTTCCCCCGGACGGGTCGATCGAAGAAAACCGCCAGCATATCCCCAGCTTTGAGACCGGACCAACAGCGGAGGCGTCGCCGTCGCACGCGTCGACAGCAGCAGCAGCAGCAGGTCGATTGTAGCTTGGAGGGCATTAATCATCACCAGTTTGGTTCCGTTTGCAACAACACGATCAGACGAAGGAGGCGGAGGATCGTCGCGAGCCAGAGGATGAAGTCGGCAATCTTGGAGGACGAGCAGCAGAGGAACAGTCTCCAGTCGTTGAAGAACCACGGGCTCGTCAACGCGAAAATCAACATGTACGAGAAGAATCTGGGCGGCGCGCACGAGCAGCAACTGGACGACAAGCGGAAAATCCTCGGCGTGCCTCTCATTGGGATGCATCGGGGCGATGATCATCCACGCTCGTTAAAAAAGACAAGAACCGTAACCAAAAGACGAGCACCGCCCGTTCCGGATAAAAAAGACCCCACCTCCGAGTCACCCCTGCAGCTCATGAATATTCAAAATGACGACTACAACAACAACAACAACAGCAGTAACGATCAGAATTACTATCACCATTTGAGAAAGTCATCATCCCCTGGTTGCAGTGGAGCTACGAGTAAGTTTGCGAAAAATTCGTACTCGACTTCGAGGAGTGCGGGAAACTGGAAACGCGAAAAAGATTTTCATCAGGTGCGAGAACGCAGCAGCAGGGTGTTGGTGAGCTTGCGAAGTAGCGACAGGAAGAGGAAAACCCTTTACGCCAAGGATGCGAATGGGGAAGAAGCTGTTCGCGTTTTGAGCAACTTGTGCTTGAATCCGCTCGCTCGAAACAGTAAAAGAGCCTCTTTTATGATGTGGTGATTTGTTTTACGCGCTCATATTTTCTTTGTTTTCTTGCTTTTTGAAGATTTTTTTAACAATGTAACGCAACAACACATATATACAATCAATGTATTATATATCAGAGTGTTTCAATATTTTTTTCCTTACTCGTGTTGTACATTACTTGTAGTCGAATGAAATGTATTACATTGCTTCCGTTATAAGTACATTTGTTAAACTAAATATAAATAAATGATGTATTCTCGCTGTCCTGTTTAAGAATATGTGAAATTCCGAGGAAAAAGACTATACTTTAATTTAAAAAACTCGGAACTATAAGTGTGTACATACAATCAATTACACTTGTTTCGGTTGGATTTAATTGTTTTAAGTTTGTTAGTAATTAAATAGTACAAAAGTAATTTTGTATGGCGAACAAATATTTTTAACTCATTTTGTAAGTGTACTTGATCCATAATAATAAAAATCACAAATAATTTCGTAAAAATATGTATAGTAATTTGGTGTCAAACGCTTAAAAATGATTAATTATTATTACAAAAGACTTTATTAGTTACAACAAAGTGCAAACAATTATTCAACACTTTTAACTTTCATATGAAATTCTGAATCTGTAAGTGATATATACAGTACGTACAACCCTAGAGGTTATGTTGACGACAGTTGTTACGCGAGTTACTACATTTACATTACAGTAAAATATACACTTCAAATAAAAAGATTTAGTCGCTTTGAATACTTACTTAGGTATGTTAAAGTATCTTGATTACTAAAATAAATTTTTTATTGTCCTTGTAGCAAGTAAATCAAGTTTTTGATGTAGAATTATTCCTAAGGATGGCAGAGCGAGGAGCGCATCTGACAGGAACTGCGTTTGCTAAACCTTCAATTTTTGAAATAGCTGCTCATAAAACACTTGCAGCGACACTAGAACCTGCTGCTAAAAAAATTATTACGGTGGCGATTGTTTATTTTTATGTCGATGTTATTATTGTGTCTAAAGTAAACGTAAGCTCATGGTTTACTTTTTTTTGAAGGTTTTAGTATCTGCCAATCCTGAAAAATATGCTTGGCTGCACAAGTGGTCGGATGAAGTATATCTCGTATTCATTGCTGCTCTTCAAAACTATTACCTTCGAAATTATTGTATCGCTATTTTTATTTGTCAATTTTGTTTAAAATTTTTACTTCTGATCGTTTCATTGAAAAATATTTTTCAGCTGCCTCGTTTTCAGAAACATTTTACGGCTTAAAACGTGTTGTTTTAAGAAACTCTGATATCCCATCAAAGCTTGATAAAAAAAGACTAAATGTTTCTCTTATAATATTAGTAATTTTTCCATATTTACAAAGAAAACTTGAAAATTGGGATATTCATAGTAGAGAAGTATGTTGTGATTATCATCATGTAACATTTGATATGAAAAATTCGTTAACCCATTCCATCTGATTTAACGTTTACAGTGCCAACAAAAAAAATGGAAAGCATATATCATCAAAACATACAGATTTTTAAATTTCACAAAAGAAGTATTAACCTTTTATCAGTATTTACTTTATCTATCAAATCGTTCAGAGTATCCAACTCTCTCTCTTCGTTTTTTGTCAATATCATTAACATATGCAAGTAATAGTGAAGAGATTGGATTGATTGAATTGTTAAAGAAATTGGGACAAGGAAATTTCAGTGCTAGTGATGGATTAGATTTACTTAGGCTTTCAATTGTTCGTTCCATTGAATTCAGTGCTTTCTTTTTACAATTTCTCCAATGGTGGAACCAAGAACACTACTATGATTTAAACTTCACATCACTTCCAGTCCCACCTCCACCACAAGTAATTAAAAGTTTTTATTAAGAAAGAAAGGATGGAGCTAATGTATTGGCACTAATTTAAAATCCCTCAATTGCAGATTCCAGATGTTGCAAAACGATATAAAGGAATATGTCCGATTTGTCAAAAGCCTCCTTGGATACATACGGCTGTAATAACATCTGGGTTTGTTTATTGTTATCAATGCATTTTACCAGAAGTTAGAAAAACCCAAAAATGCCCAGTAACTGGTTACCCAGCCAAAGAAGATCATCTTATAAGACTTTATGTACAGTAATATTTGTTAATAAGTTGTGATATACTTAGAGCCTGTATATTTTTTATAAACTATGGTACGAGGTGTGTTTGTTACCTATCAACAGAAATGACAAAATTTTGTTTGATATTAAAATTTAAGGAACATTCCTAAAAATGAATACATGAAAAATTTTCTTGAATAATCTTTATTTTAACATGAATATAATTATAAAATATAAGGCACTTTATCTTATTTTCATCTTTCCAATGTATAAAACGTTTACATTTAAAATGTATAAAAATTATTTTGTGGAATATCGAATTTTTCAGAATTTCGTTTGCACAATCAAATATTGATTAATATTCACCGGCGTACTTTTGCACCATTAAGCAATAACTTGGGTTGTTGAAAGTATAGGTTTCTAGTTAAAATTAAATAAAACCGTAAAATTAATTAATACATCGGCACGACAATTTTTAGTAGCAGTTTTCATGTGCGTATTTAATTATATGCGTAGTGACGTCAGCACAGCCTAAATCACTGCTTTTTTGTCATTGTCGTGATATTTCGAAGTCATGCATAACTATAATTCTACATCTATAATACAGAGTTAAATAATCACTTAAATAGCACATTGTTCATGTTATTAAAAAATAGATACTGCTATAAAACACGAAAATTTCGCTATTTGCAAAAGTTATTGTATTAAGACTACAATTCCTCAAAAAAGGCAACTCGTGCTTTCGTCGAGCCTGACTTAACTTTTTTCAAAGTACTATATTTATTTTCGCCAAGTCTCACTTGTTCTTCATGCAGCTGATCTAATTCGCACTGTTTCTCATCTACTTTCAGTACTTCTATTTCGGTTCGAAGCTCCCGCAATTGTTCCTGTAAATTTTTACTTTTCTCCCAGTAATCAACTCTTTCTTTTTCAATTTCAATAGAAAGCTGATCAACGTCACTATCCGCAATCAAATCGTAACAATTAACCCCGGGTGATAATGGTTCCGATTCTAATTGAAGGTTGTGTAAATCACTTTGAAGATCTGTATGAAGAACTTGCGTGGATGGAAAGAGATTTGGCACGGGCTGAAATTTTTTTTTTTTTTATGCACTGATTTTTTTATATTCCCGTACTTAAATCGTATATAAAAAAAAAAAAAGTGGTAAATACTTACTGTTATAGGCGACGTATAAGAATTTCTGCTCAAAAATTCGAGAAGTTTTTCTTTAGCTTCTTTTTCAGCTATACGCGCTCGTAAAAGCTCGTCTTTAAGTTTTTTTTCTTCGAGAGCGCGTTTCTCGGATTCTTGGACCAACATTTCCGTGAGGCGAACAGCATCCCTAGTTTTTTGCTCTAAATGAACTTTTTCTTCTTCAGTTTTCATATTATTCAACCGAATACGCGTTATTTCTTGCTCGGCCTCTGAAGCTTTTTGACTCAACAGCATGGCTTCCTCTTCTGCGACACGACTTTTTTCCGCTAGTAAATCAGCAGTTTCCTCTGATCGTCTCTTTAAATTTTTAATGATAAAAAAAAGATGTCAAATCAATCAGCTGTAGTCAATTTCCTACTGCAAAACTGTTATCTTTTGACACTTACTAGAGCTTCATTTGCAAGCCTTATTTCTTCTTGGTATTGCATGAGCCTTTGCTCCATAGCAGCTTTTTCTCTTTCGGCAGCTTCTCTAAGCTGTTTTTCTCTTTGCAGTTTTGTTCTTTCAATAAGTCTCCTGTTAAAACAAATAACTTCAATTTACAAACTACTATTTTCAGAAATATCTATTTTAAATACTGAGAGTTTTTTAGAATACTTGAAGAAAAAAAAACTGCGGTATTATCAAGACGCTTTAAAACTGTAAAATTTCAAGTACTAAAAAATAACACTAATGCAATAACCCATTGTGAGAAAAAAAAAAAAAAACTATTAATACGTGCGTAGAAATTTCAAAAATTGAAAATTATTCACATGAAATATTTTTTAAGCTGTGATGTTAAAAGCCAGTAAAAATAATGGCCTCACTTTAATACTCACACACACATACAGAGGCAAAACGTGATTGGTGATAAAAAAAGCAATTATTTAGTACTCACGCAATGCAGGAACAACAAGCTCTGATTAAAGAAAAACACGAAACATTACCGAGATTTTTCTTCCTTGGCTTGAGCCTTCATTTGCTGGACCTCCATGGAGTCGGGCTTCCGGCGTCTCATAAACAGATCATGGTTGCCGATGCACAAGTCTAGGATCTTAACAAATGAGGCGCGAATGGCCTTTTCACTATTACATTCGTCCAAACCTAAAGCTACCTGTAAGCCACCCTTCACCCAGCGCCCAACATTAGACTTATTTTTTACCAGTTTGTTCATGCGAACTTTCTGCGAGAAGAAGACGAAATTCGGCGACGACTTGTCCACGGGCTTAATGATGAACTTTTTGTCGTCAAAGCTTATGTGCCGTATCTCCGACCACGCAAACGTTGTCTTTGGTGTCAGTTTGTTTTCCTTTTCGTAAATGTTCAATCCCAGAGCAGTCACTCCAAGCCACAAGTTGGTTTCTTTTTTATTCTAATTTATTTTGTTTTAAATAGATTATTTACTTATTTTTTCAACTATTGAACTATTTTCTTATGAGTACTGTAATAATTTTTCAAAAATACTCACACTTATAGGAAAATAGTTAACGCCATACATGTCCAAATCTTGTGCCACTTTTAGATATTCTATTTCCGCTTCGTCCCTAGACATGTTTTTATGATCAGCATACCAAATTTTAATTCTGTCTTCCCACATTTCAGGCGTCATTTGATATTGATCGATAACTCTTTGTGGCAGCAAGTCTTCACTAGCCAGCATTCCTGGTTGATATGATGCCTCATCATAGTCTCCATACTGAAAAAAATGTATGAATTTTCGAGAACTAAAAACTTGTTTTACATCTAGTGACGTGCTTGTTTTTCAAGTACCTTTGCTTGAACAGCATACGAAGCCAACAAAACAGAAGCTTCCGGGGGACAGTAAATATCCATCGAAAGTATAGCTTGTTTAACCTGGAGATAAAAAAGGTGTTGTGTCACTTCTTGTACAAGCTCTTCTGCAACATCTTCTGGATAAAATTTGGCAAGGAACATAAACGGAGTTGTCGATTGTTGTGAAATACCTTGATCTTGCACTATAATAAATGTCCAAGTATCAAATTACATGAAAAATCATAATCTGGATGTATGTTAATGAAATTATGACATAAAAACCTTTTTTGTCCAATTTTAGCCATGATATGAAGCCTTTCGAATCTTCGTACTGGAGACCAAAATACCATGTTTCTCGTAGTCCAATGGTACGACACACCAGGTCAAATAAATCCCTTCCAGTAGCCCGCCACTTGAAATTAAGTTGATGTATTTACGTTGTAAAGAATAATAAATTGGCTCTGCGTTAGACAGCCTCTAATAATTAGGTCCAACTAACCTCTAAATTGAATTCAAGCTCAGCATCCAAGGTGCAAACTTTAACAGGAAACGACTTTGTTGATTTCTTACGACGAAACTGTGGCATTTTATTCCTCATTGTGCAAAACATTGATCATCTTGATCAACGGCTTGATAGAGAGCACCAAAATTAAACAGCTTGGACACTTGCTAATTACTTTAATTTGCTCATGTACATGGGTATACATGTGTGATAATCAAAACTTTATTTACGTTTTCTTGATGAACAAGTAAGTAAACGTAGATATATTTACAAAAACACACAAATACCCACTGTGCTGCTAATACAAGCCAAAATTCTTGAAGTGCCAAAATTAAATACTCGGTTATAATTCTACTTATTGTAAATCTAAATCATAAATGCAAACTGTACTGCTACAGTGTCACATTATAAACATTTGTTTCGCCAAAAACAATTGTAAGGTGTACCTATTTTCACTGATTCATCTTAGAAAGTGCAAATAAAAAAAGGGGCCCTCCCCCCCTACATATAGTTGTCTGAGCTCGTCCGTTGGCTCAGTTCCTCAGTTGGTTGGTTAGTCAGCGTGCATTGCAGCTGCAGCTAACACGGAAGCCCGGTCACGACATCTAGGTCCGCACTTCCGCACATTCTCTAGCCTGCATGTAGATGTCGTGATCGGGCTTCTGCAAGTGCAATTTACAATGCAAGTCTTCATTTCTTACAACGGAAATTTTGATACAGAAGCCATTATTGTATAGATACATTTATAGATTAATTCAAGTGAAATATTTGTTATTTCTTATTTCGTTTAGTTTATACCGTAGTTTTTTTTTAAATAACTTAAGTTGGCAAGTACTAACAATTTTCATCTATATGTTCATATAAAAATATTTAATGCAATAAAGAATGTTTTTACAATATTTGACTGTTTTATCTCATTTAACAGCTTTAAATAACAGTTTTTTTTCTCAATACTATGGGAAATAAAAATTCAAAAGTCATTTTTAATGTTACTTTTCTTAGTAAGTAATGTAAGTAAGAAATAACGTATTATGTACAAAATGTCATCTAAATGTAACTTTACATTAGTGCTCTGTTGCGATTTTATACTTTTTCTTCAGCACTCGATAGCGGCGCCACACTGATGCTCTAGTTCTCTTCAACATTATTGCTAAATCTGCAAATTTGCGATCTGATGACTCATTAGTATCATGATTTTTAATGAAATTTAATATAACGTTATCTTCTTCTTGAGCGTATCTATAAAATAAATTTTTTTTAAATCAGTGAAAAAAAAGATCCTGAAAAATGTACACCGAAAGTTTTACAGACCTGCTCGTTTTATGTGGTTCATATAATATTCGAAACCTGTGGTACACACTATACAAAGATCTATCATGAAGTCCATCAGCCAAAAACTGCACAAACCGCAACCTATTTTTTCGACAACGCAAGAGAAATTTATTGTGTGGTCTCATGTATAAAAAAGGCTTTGGATTTTTTTTATCCCAATTGTGTAGCTAAAACGATATAATAATCAGATTAGTCGTACTTTGGTTGAAACAAAATTCATACTAGGGAAATACAAACAACCTTGCAAAAGGCTTTCCAGTTTTTTTTTAAAATACGATCTTCTTCGCTTGAAAACGCTCCAATCTTCAATGGTACGTGCGTTTCAAATAATTCTTTGACAGCTTTTGATAGTACACGAGTACCAGCAGTTTTTTCGATCATATGCTGTGGTGGTGGCTCATGCCTCAGTTGAATTTCCAATTTCCATAATAACTAAAACAAAATGAAATTAAAAAATATTACAATATAATAAGATTTCAACAATCACACACATCTAGTTATTGTTTAGTCACCTGTTTCTCTTCATCAGTTGGTGTATAAGTATCTAATGCATAACTTAGGCTAGAATTTTCCTCTTCATCATCAAAATGTTCATTCTCACTTTGATCTTCGTCCTCATCTTCATCTACATCCTTTAATTTTTTTTTTTTCAATTTTTTTCTTTTGATTTTTAACGTATCCTTTTCATCATTTTCTCTCTCCTGCTCACGTTCATTACCATTGATTGTTTCTTCACCTTGATTCTCATTCCTTTGTTTTTTTCTTTTCTTTTCTTTTGATTTCTTTTTTCGTTTCTTATCACTCAAATTATTGGAATTACTCTTTTCAACATTAACCTCATCACTACTCGAGGTATCTTTTAGAAGATCTACAAAAAAAAACACGTACTTTTTATTACTTGATTACATTTTGAGAACAATTTATCATTTATCAATTAGTAAGAGTTAGATAAGATATCGTGAATTTTAAGGCATCTTTATCGTGTCTCTCAAAGGAATAAATGTGTATGCTTTAATTAAGGTTAACTGTAATGAAATTATTGCGAGACGTCAAAAGAAAAAAAAAAAAAAATTTTTTCTTACCCATGTTTATGAGGAAATATATTTAATTTCCAACTGTTTAACGCGTATACTTAAAACGATGTATACATTTCAAGAAAAATAATTAAAATCGTAAGTAAATCCGGTGCCTTGCACTAGTACAAACTATTTCACGCGGTCTATCTAATGTTATTTTGATTCTATATTATATAGATATACGAGTGTAAAGGGTACTTATATTGGCACTCATGGAACTATGGAAGAAAGATATGTAAAGTGCCGGCAAAAGGAACGTACTTACTGAATATATTTGTTTGGAATTTTTTTAGTTATCCAATTAATTGTTAATGATCAATTGCACTGAAGAAAAGGGCTTGTGACTAATTAAAATAATTGTAATATCAATACAGTGATGATAAATATCTTTAACGAGCGATAATTTTCTTTCTTTGTGCTGAATGGCAAAAGATAAGAAAGAATAACAGTCGAAAAAAAGACTTGTATATTTGCAAAGATTAAACGGTGCACAGTGTCTTGTATCTCTTTGTTGAAATACTTTCCGGCTCTTCCTCATGTTGTACATGAAATCCAGCGAAGACGAAATGAGAACTTTAAAATTTTCATTTACGTTACTGTGCTTTTTTTTAAGTTATTCTGTGGCTCAGGAATCTCACAAATTTGAGCCCAATTGGAAAAGTTTGGACAGTCGAACCATCCCATCGTGGTTCGATGAGTACAAATTTGGAATTTTTATTCATTGGGGTGTGTACAGTGTTCCAAGCTTTGGCTCTGAGTGGTTTTGGACAAATTGGAAATGTAAAAGGCATTTTTATATTTTATACATATCTAACTACATTATAGAAAAAAAAAAAAAATTTAATAATTGCATATATTTTGTAGCTGGGAGTAAATCAATCGATGATTTCATGAAAAAAAATTACAAACCAGGTTTTACCTATCAGGAATTTGCCAAAGACTTTACAGCTGAATTTTTCAATGCCACTCAATGGAGTGAACTATTTGAGGCGTCAGGCGCGAGGTATGTTGTCCTCACGAGCAAGCACCACGAAGGTTACACACTGTGGCCTTCTAAATATTCATACAGCTGGAATTCCGTAGACGTAGGACCTCACAGAGATTTGATAGGTAATCTAATTTAGTAATTTTTTATCAAAGAACTTTTATATTGAAAAAAGTTTATTTGTAGGAGAGTTATCATCAGCCATTAGGAGGAACACAAACTTAAAATTTGGAGTCTATCATTCTTTGTATGAATGGTTCAATCCCATGTACTTACATGATAAAATGAATAATTTTAATACAGATCTTTTTGTTACTCATAAAGTTATACCAGAAATGAAAGAATTAATCACAGCATATAAACCAGAAGTGTTATGGAGTGACGGCGACTGGGAAGCCCCAGAAAAATATTGGAAGTCCACCGAATTTTTAGCTTGGCTCTATAATGAAAGCCCTGTCAAAAGTACCGTCGTCACTAACGATCGGTGGGGCATCAATGTGTCCTGCCATCATGGAGACTTTTACAACTGCCAAGATCGATATAATCCAGGTAAAACATCTATGTATGCTGTGATATCAGATAATGATTATTTATGAAGAACTTTATCTTGTCTTTGATGAAATTTCATACGATGTATACTTATTAAAATTTAATAAAAATCTTTTTGTATTTACTTAGGTGTCTTACAAAAACACAAGTGGGAAAATGCAATGACTATTGATAAAAAGTCTTGGGGTTTCCGCAGAAATGCTCCATTAGAAGATTACTTTACTTTAGAGGAAATTATAAAAGAGCTTGTTATCACAGTAAGCACAGGCGGAAATTTATTAATGAACGTCGGACCAACCAAAGACGGAATAATATCACCCATTTTTCAAGAAAGATTGCGCGGAATAGGTAAATTTTTCATCATTACGTTCACTATAGTTTACTTTAAATGACTATTTTTTTTAGGTCGTTGGTTAAAAGTTAATGGAGAAGCAATTTACGGAACTAAACCATGGCTGATACAAAATGATACTATAACAAAGGATGTTTGGTATACTCAAGGCCGAAACGATGATGTTTACGCTGCATTACTTTCTTGGCCTAAAAACAATATACTATATTTGAGTGAGCTAGTCAAGACTACTGATGATACAAAAATAACAGTCCTTGGAAGTGAAGAAAAAAAGTTAAAAGTAAGTAGACAAATTATACCAGTACAAGCTTTTGCTAATATGTAATATTTTTCAGTGGAAGAAAGCACCAAATACTGAAATTTCTTTACCACTTGCACTTCAAAGAGGAGAGCCAGCATGGGTCCTTAAAATTACAAACTTGCAAAAGTAAATTTAAATATAGTAGGGACACGAAAAAAACTTGTTATGTTGATTAACTTGTGTATTTTTAACAAAACGTTACAAAAATTGTACATGATAAAAAGTACAAAATAGTTAATTATCATCTCTTAAACAACATAATAAAATTTCTTTATATATATAAAAAAAAATCTTGGAATTTACCGTAACTTCTTCGTAGAGCAGAACTCTTAAATTTGAGAAACTTCAAAAAGATAGGCACCCAGTAGTTTAGTCTAAAAAAAAGCAAAGTTTAGAATTTTTCCAAAATTTTACAAAATTACATATAGTACTTACCCCTTCAATATAATTATGAACATTCAGTTTTTCGTTTTGTGAATGAGCTCCGTCATCACCACATCCAACTGGGAGCAACAAAACGTTTTTACCAGTGACTTCTTGAAAAGTTAGTGTCACAGGAATGGAACCACCCTCGCGCGTACAATCAGGGTCTACTTTGTAGACATGTTTCGTGGCTGTTCTGGCAGCAACGTAATGAGGATGATCAGGATTTGATGACCAACATCGGCCACCGTGGCTTAAAGAAATTTTCATTTTGTTTGGACTACCACGAAGTTTCCACTGCTTTTCAACGTATGCTATGACCTTTTTCTCTACTTCCTCAGGAGTCATATTAGGAACGATTCTTATTGAAAACTTGCCTATTACTGTGCCTGGAATAACAGTTTTGTCATTTGGTTCATAAAATGCTCCCTCAATGCCGTGAAGAGACAAAGTCGGGTTACGCCAGCGGTGCATCAGAAGTTGTTTCTGAAATAAACTTTCTCTATTTAAAATCGCATTGTTATTATGATATCGCCAACGAAATTAATTTTCTATTACCTTATCTTCATTGTGAGGGAGTTTGAAAGCTCCACAGGAATTTCTATACTCATCAACGTTAAACTCAATTGTATCGTACATTTTTAACTCTTCAGGAGTAGCCTTCTCGACATTCTCATAGATTCCCTCGACCAAAACTTTGCCATTAACATCTACCAGAGTATTCATCAAGTAAATCAAATCGGACATTGCTTCATGAACAGTCCCTCCAAATACCCCGCTGTGAAGATCTTTATTAGCACAACTTACTTCCAAATGGAAGTAGCAGAGACCTCTTAAACCATAAGTTATGCATGGTTTTGTAGTGCCAAGCCAATAATTGTCAGATATACAAACGAAATCGACTCCTTTTAAGAAGTTATCTTTGCGAGACCACAGGAATTCATCAAGACCCTCGCTACCACTCTCCTCCATACCTTCAAACACAAACTAAAAAACAATACAGATAAGTAAACTTTACTTAAAATAAGAATTAAAAAAAAAAAAAAAAAACTTTCATAAGACATGTACCTACCTTAAGATTAACGGGAATCTCTTCACCAACGGCTTGGTATGCCTGAAGAGCATGCAACCAGCATAGAACCGGCCCTTTGTCGTCGGTACTTCCTCTTCCATATAGCTTGCCATCTTTTTCAACAAGTTCAAATGGATCTGTGTCCCAGCCATCTTCTTTCAAGGCTGGCTGAACGTCCAAGTGTCCATAGATAAGAACAGTCTTCTTTTTAGGATCTGTCCCGAGGGTTCCCAGAAGAGCTGGTGGAAGTGGAATTTCTTCTCCATTGGAGAGCTTCTGAGTGCCCAAATCGGCCAATTCTGTGACAGCACCAAGTTCTTTGAATTGAGCCTCCGTCCATTTCATCATTTTAATAATATCATTTCTACTCTCTGGCCAGGCAGATACAGATTTAATAGCAACTGCTAGCTTCAAGTTTTCAATATATCTGACCTTATTATTATCAATGTGCCTGAATGAAAACAATTTAACAATAAAATTTTACAGCCATCTACCACATCTTTTATTATAATCATTACAAAGTTAAGAAAACTACTTACTTAAACAGCTTCGATAAAGTCGATGGGAGTGACATGATTTACAAATGTCTGAAAAATATGTATGAGTATATAAAAGCCCTACTTTGTAATTGAGTTTTAGCCACACGTAATCACACACAAAGAACCGGTACTTATTGTTACAGTTACACCCACTGAAGCTGAAATTCTTATCTGGTCGACACTGGCGATTAAAAAGTTTTTCGTTTATGTTCCAAACAATAATGGGTGTTTTCCGCAATCGTCACCAGCAAGTAATTTAGGTTGCGCTCTACGTTACCGTCAGGTCGGTAAGTCAACTACCTTGAATTAACTGGCGCTCTGTTCCGTAATCTGGCAGTTAAAATAGAGTGTATACAATACAAGGCGAAAGCCATAGTGTCCGAAAGTTTACTGATTAGCTCCACCATTTATGGGACGTATCTACTTCACCTACTTATGTGCAGCGATGGCAGTCTATGTGGCCCCAAAAATGGCGTTGTTAGTCATACTCCTCTCCTGAAGAAAAGCGCTGGCTAATCGAGGTAGTTTTATTCGTTTGAACTTAAATTTATTTTTAAAATTTAGTCATTCGATTTAGATTAAATAATTATTAAAAATTTGTATAATTAAAAACGTTTGGGGGGATGGCGCGCGAAGCGCCCTAGTAGTATAAAACTATAAAATTTATACCCTCTCTAAGTTTTTAATGACCCCATCCGGAAACACCAGAACCAGAAATAATAGAAGAGGAATATTTGACAAGAGCATATTTATAATAACAATACTGTACGATCTATAAATTTTTCAAAAATACATACAACAAATTTTTGTACATAAAGATTTGTATAAACAAATTATTAATAATTATGTGTACATATTTTGGTAGAAATAAGTTAATTTTATTATGATAAACGTTTGGTAAGAAAAATTTTCTAAGATAATTGGAAATTGCTCCGTTCACTCTTTGTAAAAATATGGAATTTAAGAGTATGGAAAATTAATCATTGAGCTTGAGAGGCGATTGCACAACCCACTTCGTATTATAATATGGTTTGATTGATGAGAAAAAGGCACAAAGAGCCAACTCATACAATTAAAATATTTTTATAAAGTTGTCCAGTTGTCAGCTTGCTTTTGGGACTGGCCTTTTGCTTTTCGTTTCAACACTTGGCGCTGATGCTCATATACAAAGTCTTCCTCACTTAATTTTAATTTTCGAATCTAGAATTGATAAAAAAAAAGTAAGTAAGTATATGTACAATACAATACATCAAATAGAAAAAACATCTTACATGATGCACCAAGTATTCCTCTTCCATTATTTCTGGAGGCGGATTTTTCAAGACTTGGAGAGTTTCGTACATAGTTGGACATTTTTTCAGTTGCCAAGAACGACCTAAACTGCCTTTAAGTAGGACAAGAGCAACTTTGAAGATAATTTTGACTCCTTCACACAGAAACATATCCCAAATACGTAAAATACTTTCCCACGGCAGCGTTCTTGTATACACACATAAGAACCATTCCATCATGTACATAATTGGTTTGATATCTTGATTTTTCTGAAACCAATAAAATATTTTTTGGTTAAAATTATGCTGTAGAAATTGGTGTATGAAAAAAAAAGTTAATAATTTTACCAAGTGCTTGTATGTTATTGGGGAAACTTTTTTTAGTAAAGCAAAAAGTATATCCCCATCTCTCTGAATAGTTTGCATATCTTGACTATAATATCCCATTAGATATTTATCACATATGGCTACAAGACACCAAAAAGCTTGAACAGCTGGCATGTGCATTAGAAGAAAGGCAGCAATGGGTGCTTGAGCTTGACAGTAGCCTACTTTACTATTTAGAATAGAATAAGCTTTAAGAATCTGAAAAAGTTCTTGCTGACCAAGAGCATTTTCAACAAACATTTCATGGTGCGGAAATTGACGGTGGAGATCTTTTTTTATATCATCGATATATTTTGAATCTCCTGGACGTTTTATCAATTCTTGGTAAAGAGTTGGATTTTCTTTCAAGAGGAGAGCACCTCCACAAAAGTTTAACCACGCTCTGGGACGAATAGAAGGGGGGATACCTTTTCGACATCTTTCTCTGATAGTTTGATACTTTGTGCTCATGAACGTGTTCCACTTTTCCAACATTACCAACCATTTTTTTTCTCTTCTGAGCATAATTTCTGGTGATACAACTTGTTTCCTAATAGTGTAAGTTTGTTTTGAGTCTATAATGTAATGGAAATAAATATTGAAAATAGTTTTAGATTAGCATTACCTGTCAGGGCTGTATTGTGAGCCACCCATAAATCCATGCCGATCGACAGTGCCATATCTATTTGAAATGACAGAGCTGCACTGATATGTACTGCTGACATCAGACTCTGATTCTACGTTACTAACGTCGTCCTCGGCGTTCCGTGGCGCCGAGGAAGCCATAGCATCATTCTAAAACAAAGCATCTTTATACTACTTTTTCAAACGAAAATTGTGACATCGATATTACAATAGTAATGTACTTACACTAGATAAAAGCGAAATATTTTTGACTCTTTGACAGCAGCGAGTTTGTGCGACTGTAGAGGTACTCTACAGAGTGATATTTCTCAACGCCTTGAGAACGTAGATAACAAGCAACTATTCCTCTAATTAGAAAAAAGTGTTGCAGTTCACCTAAATAAACTGAGAGTACTGCACCTTATATGGATATGTTGTGATGTTCGAACTTGTATGTAAACAAACACAGCTAAGATGCGTCAGCAATGTCTACCTGTTTATATATATGTTTATGTTTAATGAATTGACCATATAATCTGTTTGATAATACGATCAAATTTTCGTTCTTTTTCTTTAAAACAATCTTGATTAGTGAATTAGTAAATACTTAGTGAGTCAGGAACTAGTAGGCACAACTGAAACTTACGTGTGTATGCAAATTGTGTGGTAAATACGTATACATCAACTCTCAAAACTCCAGTGCCCCTCTTCTTTTTTTCGATCCTGCTTGTGCGTATCTACTTATTGTGTACTTATTCCCACTTTTTCATGAACTATAGTTTTTGTACATTTGTCATAACTAATTTATTGATAAGCACCAGACACACCACGAAGTGCACATTTATAGTCGTGACAACAGATTGAACAGGACAGGAATAATCAGCAGAAATGTGTGTATTTTATGTGTAGACGACACAGTCGATGACACGCCCTGACCATATATCCGTCGTCCGTCCCGTCACTACCGTCACTGAATGACTAAAGTCGTCACAGCGGTCACACTCGTCAGTCCATTGTCCAATGTCCATGCCCATATAATGGGCCCCATATACTTACCCATCATTTTTTCGTTTTGTATAAAAGTTTGATACTCTCTAGAGTAAATATTTTTTTATTGGTTTTTAACATGCAGGGAAAATGTGTGACTTGTACTAATAAAATTAAAGTAACGAATTCATCATAATCGCACTTGAAATGAGTACTGAAAAAATAGTAAAGTATATATATGTATATTAGCAACTTACTTTATTTAATGTTAAAGATTACATGAAAAGTATTTAACGTATCTAATACAAGAAATGATTTTCTAATTTATCAGTAAATTATAAGTTAATTTATTGGAAAGACTCCAAGTACAACAGCACTGAACAAGTATTGTAGATTAAGGTATTATAATTCAATCAAATGAAAATTGCAAAAATCAGGTTCTTTCATGTGATTTTAGAAAATTATGAGTCATATAATATACTAACACTCAAATTAATAAAACAAATATTTTGTATCTAATACTATGAATTTTTTTAAAGCTTCTTTTTTAAATAAGATTTTTTTTGGCCTCTTGATTGGGAGCTGCGCTACCTGCTCCGTAGTCTTTTTTGGTTTGTTTTAGGCAGTAACTTAAAACGACTTCCTGGAGCCGCACCACTCCCTGTTAAGCGAAGAATCCATCCTTCTTTTTCGCCATCAACCACTGCCTTGGTTATCTTTTTCAATCGCAATTTCGTTGGCTCCATATTTTCCTTTATGTATCTTTTGATGGCAAAAATAGTTGAACCCTTACGATTGTGCAGAGCGCCAAGTGCACTGACTACCATTTCTTTCGCGGAGAAATCCTTCCAGCTTGGCTAAAAAAATTTTGTTTACATGTTCATAAATCACAACAATACGTTCACGAGTTACAAGTATGTCATCTCTCTCAACAAAAAACAAACATTTTGGAACTTCTGCACACACAAAAATTGCTTATACTAGAGTGTTTTCAAATTAAATAAATAAACCCTTTTTTCTAAGAAAATGCGAGCAACACGCCCAAAACCATATTATAGTTTATCATAATATGTGATGAAATGAAAATATGTAGACAAAAATTCCAATTGCGTGTAAAAAATGAAATAAATATACACGCAGTAAGTACGCACAGTATACATTTTCAGTCGCAATAAACTAACCTTCTCTTGAGAGCTGGGGGCGGGGCCGGCAGCAGCGGCAGTCCGGCCGGCTGTGAGGTTAGCTGTCGCAGCTGCTAATGCCGCCATTGCAGCTGCCAATGCTGCTAAAATAGTGTCATTGCTTTTATTTTTGATAACTTCGTCCTTATCCTCCCTCACAGTGGAGGCGTTGTTCTTCGGATGCTCCAACTTTTTTATCGATGACCGCGTTACTTTTTTTATACGGGCCATGGGTTTCGTAACTTTCACCTTTTTTTGTTTTTGCGTTTTGTTATTCATTGTTGCCCCTACCTTTTCTTCCTTCTTTTCGATACCTTTATTTATTTGTACAGCGTAACGATCATCGTCATCATCGCTGTCGGAAAACGTGGACAAATCTATAAATCGTGTTGGCCATGTATGCATTTGTTTATTTTTGATTTTTTTGTTACGATAGAATATACTTTTATATTGGTATATACCATATACACAAATGACTCACAATTTCACAAAAAAAGTTCCAAAGACTCTATACCTACTTACAATTTACAACATACTATTATGAACTAATTTGACTTCTCAAAGTCTGCTCGAGCTCGAGAGCCAACCCGACAATAATGTAAAAATTATACCTACAAGGCTCAAGGCTTGGCGTTGCGCATCCATTTTGATTGACCAATCAGGAACGCTTCCATCGCACCGCCATGTCTGTCTGCAAATTTCAAAAGCTTTTAAAATATAAAGCGTATTAGCATCAAAAAACTCGTGAAACAATGTATATTTTTTACTTCAATATTTTCATTCAAGTTATTTTAGTGACCAAACGCCCAATTCGGCAATATTTACCCAGAAAAAACTGACTAAATAGGTAAACAATGATCAGTTGACACGTACACGTGTGTCTACATCTATATATGTCTCACTTCAAGGTGGATGCGGGGGATAGGTTTTAGTTTCAACTTTGGCCACTTCGTTTGATTGTACAGGCTCTTCGGCGCTGTAGTAGTCACATCTCCCTCAAATATGGCGTCGTGTTGGAAGGCGCAAAACGGCACGAAAATGAGACCTCGGAAAGCCACACACCTTGTAAGTATATATTTTTACACATCATGAACCTGACGGCAAAAAAGCAAATAATCTAGTTTGGGGCACAATGGCGTCGACCCTTATTTGAAACGCACGTACCATTGAAGATTGGAGCGTTTTCAAGTGAAGAAGATCGTATTTTAAAAAAAAACTGGAAAGCCTTTTGCAAGGTTGTTTGTATTTCCCTAGTATGAATTTTGTTTCAACCAAAGTACGACTAATCTGATTATTATATCGTTTTAGCTACACAATTGGGATAAAAAAAATCCAAAGCCTTTTTTATACATGAGACCACACAATAAATTTCTCTTGCGTTGTCGAAAAAATAGGTTGCGGTTTGTGCAGTTTTTGGCTGATGGACTTCATGATAGATCTTTGTATAGTGTGTACCACAGGTTTCGAATATTATATGAACCACATAAAACGAGCAGGTCTGTAAAACTTTCGGTGTACATTTTTCAGGATCTTTTTTTTCACTGATTTAAAAAAAATTTATTTTATAGATACGCTCAAGAAGAAGATAACGTTATATTAAATTTCATTAAAAACCATGATACTAATGAGTCATCAGATCGCAAATTTGCAGATTTAGCAATAATGTTGAAGAGAACTAGAGCATCAGTGTGGCGCCGCTATCGAGTGCTGAAGAAAAAGTATAAAATCGCAACAGAGCACTAATGTCAAGTTACATTTAGATGACATTTTGTACATAATACGTTATTTCTTACTTACATTACTTACTAAGAAAAGTAACATTAAAAATGACTTTTGAATTTTTATTTCCCATAGTATTGAGAAAAAAAACTGTTATTTAAAGCTGTTAAATGAGATAAAACAGTCCAATATTGTAAAAACATTCTTTATTGCATTAAATATTTTTATATGAACATATAGATGAAAATTGTTAGTACTTGCCAACTTAAGTTATTTAAAAAAAAACTACGGTATAAACTAAACGAAATAAGAAATAACAAATATTTCACTTGAATTAATCTATAAATGTATACAATAATGGCTTCTGTATAAAAATTTCAGTCGTAGGAAACGAATAATTAAAATTCGTTAGCGCGTCATCTGTCGAGACACAAATTGATTTGAGATTCCCTCAGAATATCTCGTTTATCACAGGAAGCGACCGCACAGCGGATTGCACATTGTTAACATGAACATCATCAGAGTTCTGGTTACTTTCAGCAATCATTTCTGTGGCTCTGCAACGCTTCTGGTGAGCAAAGAGACTGCCACTGTGGCTGTACGCCGCATTGCAGGTCTTACAGACGTAGGGCTTCTCTCCAGAATGCGTGTACGTATGCTCTTTTAGCGTACTCAATCGTTTAAAAGCCTTGCCGCACGTCTTGCAATGGTAATTGGCTTCACCGGTGTGACGAGTCAGGTGGCGCCTGAACGCCGAGCTCACGGCAAATGCCGCACTACATACATGGCAAACAAAAGGCTTGTCCCCGGTATGGATGCGGATATGGTTGGCCAAGCTCGTGGTAGTGGTAAAACCACTGTTGCAGGTTTTGCAGACGTGAGGCTTGACTCCGGTATGAGTTCGCATGTGGTAGGTGAGCGACGAGTTACTGGGATATACTTTGCTGCAAATGTGGCAGAGATACTCTCTTGGCACTTTCTCCTTGGGCTTGCTGTGAATTTTTTGATGCAGAGCCAGTCGCGCTCGACTGGCACAAACTTTCTTGCAGACTTCACAAACTGCTGGCTCTGGCTTTGGCTTATGCATAGCGACATGCCTTCGTAAGCCCTTCTTGGTTGTCATTACTTTGTCGCAATGTTGGCATTTGTACTCTCCACTGTTCTCGTCCTCGCTTTCTTCTTTCTTGCAATTGTTACCACTATCCGATTTAATGCTATCTACACTCGGAAATACATCATCATCGGATTCATACAATTTATTGCTGTCGGACATATTGTCGAGCAGTCCATGCCCGTGTTTTTCGGCATGCTTCTTCAACGTGTCGGGTCGGAAAAACCATTTCTTACAAACTGTACAAGAGTATTTTTTTTCCCCGTGTATGAGAGTATGACGTTTTAAATTTTTCAACGACGAACAGTATTGGCCACATTCTTCACATTTAAAGTTTTTTGTAGCACTTTCCAAATCAATAGATTGATTTCCATTTTCATCATCTGAATCTTCACTTTTGCAATTAATCTTTTCATTAGACTCACTTATTGGATTATCAGAATTCAATTGCTTAAAATAGTTATCTTTTTCGATGTGCGACTTGATATGTGCATCAAGACTTTCAGGTTTTGAAAAACAGGTACTGCACATATGGCAGGCATAAGGCTTCGTATTATGAATAGGCTTATGTTTTTCAAAATTTTCAAGCTTACAAAATGTTTTGAAACAAGTTTCGCACTTATACTGTTTATCATGTGTCAACTGATGTTTCCTACAGCCAAGCTGAGTGGTGTAAGTTTTTGGACACGACTTGCACTTATACTTTTTCTCTTCTTGGGTTTGATTTTCCGTATCTTCAACAAAATAATCATCTTCAATTTCTTCACTAGTAAATTGGTCATTTTCCATGCTCTTTGACTTATCATCCAATCCTTGTTTTTGCAAGTTGGTATCTTCTGTAAGAGTTTGATCTTTCTCCATATAATAATAATTAACATTGTTTTTCACGTCATCTACAACACTAATACCTGTATCTATACCGCAAACGCCATTGATTAAATTTACGTTAACAGGAATTAATTCCTGACCACAATTTACTGACTGTGTATTGCAGGGAATCGTTTCTGAATTTTTAGAAATATCTTTGGATTGTTCATCAAAAGTCAGATGGCAATCGAAAAGTTTTTGTTCCGGAACCGAAATATTATTTACATTAACTGTGGATATGCTTGCTGCAATTGAAGTAACAACCGCATTAGTTTGCGCTTCTGAATGATACTCTCCACTTGCGATTGAATTATGGAACTGCTGACCATTCATTGTTTCTTCTTTTACATAATAACTTTCCTGCAATCCTTCATCAGACTTTGTCAAAAGAACCTGTGTTTGCAAGTCAGTCTGTGTACCAGAATCCTGAGTAAAAATGATAAATTAAGTAAAATAATACAAATGTATTTTTAGAGTTAATTTCATAGTGTGACTTACAGTGGCACTATTGAATTTAGCTGGTTTATTATAATACATCCTTAGTCTAGCATCAGAGTGTTGGCACAATTGTCTGAATTCAAAGGCAATATTTGCTTTATACATACAGACGCCACAAATAAGAGTAGGTAAGCCATCCTGTTCCTGGCAATCAACACCCCCACAAAGTTGAATCTTTTGTGGCAAATCTAGGTTGCCATCTATGGTTTGTCTACTACAAAAAATGGGTTGTAAGTTTGTATTTTCCATCAAGCAAATTCTACAAGCTCTGTCCATATTTAATGGCATGACAAAATAGCTATTATTTAACGTCATGGCTATTGGTTGTCTCTGCACGATCTGCAACAAAAAATTTGTCAAGTATCAAAGGAATTGAAGAATATTTCACTTATACAAAGTTGTACTGTTTTCTTATAAACCACTTAAATTTACACCCAGCACTTCAATAATAAATTACGCGACAAAAAAATGGGAGGAAAAAGTTACTACATTTTTTCTAAGGACATGGTAATAATTATGAATAAAACATTTACAAATATGTTTAAACGGTTTCAAACAATCGAGTCTCGGAGAGCACCGAACCTTTTGCACTTATTTATTATAGTAACTATACGTGTATACACATTCTACAAAAAAAAAATATACCAAGACTGTCAAGTAAAAGAGCAACAAGTAACAAGTAAGTAAGTAACAAGTAAATACAAAAAACACACCAACACCAGTCGGCAAGATATTATATTCACGACAACCTCCGGGATTGAGTGCCACTGCACATTTGTATTTGACACGAAGGAGCTGAAATATGCCAAGAGAAGATTAAGGTTCTCAACTTGAATAGTTTCTCCGACAAAAATCCTGTTCCAAGTTTCAAGGGCCAAGCTGAGCCTGAGCCGCCTGAGCGCTATATATACACTGCGCAGGTTGCAAGTGAAGATCGGGTATTCGGGTGCAAACTCTGCAAATGGTGAGAGCGTGAGAGAGAGAATTCTCAAAAAAAAGGAAGTCGCTCGCACTACTTAATCACATCTTGCAATATACGTACCACGTACCACCTACCACCTACATAAACATAGATGTTCAGTTCATATAGACTGCGCGAAGAGCGACGACCGACGACCCTTTGTACTTAAGTAATACTTAAGCCGACTTATGCTCGGCTCGCGTGTCTACATCGTGTCTTCCTTCATTCTTTCTTCGTATACTTGTTAATGCTGCATTTACTTGCTTACAATGGCTTCCCTCGCGCAAACACTGCGAAGCGCCACAACCACTGCACGCACTCTTCTTCTTGTTCTTTGTAACTTTTGGCTGAAATGTTTAAATCCTCCTGCAATGTGGATTGCTGCTGCACACCACAGCGCTGGTTCCAAATGGGTGTAATACTTATTGCTGAATATTGCTCCGATTTGTTGTTTTGAAATTTGCTCAAGAAAACGTCTGCTAGTAGTGAGCTCCAAAAGTCTACTTATTCTCTCGCCTGTAACAAATTTTTAAAAATATACTGCATTTTTTTCTTCCTCTTTTTCTTTACAGTGCACAAAATTACGATTTCTCTTAATTCACATATGAACTTTACATTACATTTTTACGTTATTATGAAATTCCCATCTGTGTCCTAATTTTATTTGATTTTATTTAACACGTATCGTAGGATTTGCTTTTATCAACTACTTATTTAGCTTGAAAATCTGAAACAATACGATTTTTAAAGGGTTGTGTGGGTTCGATCCGGGCAGAGATGAGTAGACTATCTATTATCTACTCCTTACCCCGGGCTTTATTCAAGTAAGTAAACGATACATTAAAAAAATATTATGCAGATGTCGTGACCGGGCTTCCACAGACTTCTCGGTTCCACAGACTGTCATTTCATCGCAAGTGTCAAGTGACGTCTTTTTCAGCCTTGTGTATATATCTATACATATGGAGCCATAAATAATGACAGTTGATAAGTACACGTGCGCGCATTGTTGATGATAATCGAACTCTTTAATACGTATACCTTTAACCTGCGATAAGGTCTTTTAGTAAATGAGCAATAATTTTTTAAATGGTCTAGAAAAATTTTTTGAAATTAAAAAATGTCTGGACAAGATCAATGTGAATTTTTTGTTGAAAGAAAAAAACGCTTTTGTCGAATGACAGTGAAGAAGGGCAAGAGATTTTGTGGTGAACATGAATCTATTCAAGATGGAATTGTATGTACTGATGAAAGGGTGGCCTGTCCACTTGATCCAACCCAGTGAGTAATTCTGATACACAACTATTCACTTGATCATTTATATAGGTTGGGACACCACATAATTTTTAGACTATTTGCAGTTCTTGTTACAAATCCAAATTGCCTAAGCATTTAAAAGTATGCAATGCCAAAATTAAACAAGACATGCAGCCACCATATGTTATCAGAGGATTTAACTTAACGGATAAAACAACACAGGCTAACCATGTTCCTCTGTCAGAAATTGACCAGGATGCAGTTAATATCGTTTTAGCAAAGATTAAAAATTCGTATGGTAAATTAAAAATGTATGACTCTTGCATGAATGGCTTGACATGGAAGTTTTGATTTTATCGATATTTGAAATGTTTTTGTAGATAAACTACCAGAGATACCTGAGGAAATATTACAACACAAAGTATTAGAAGAAGAATTAAATGATCCAATTTACGGTAATGAAGCCAAAAGACACCTACTTCAAACAGCATCATTACTTGGACACTTGGCTCAAGCCAACCTTATTTGTGAGAATACATGTTTTATTGAATTTGGTGCTGGTAGAGGTAAAAACAAAAAAAAATTGTATATTCTACCAATGCAACTCAACTAAAAAGTACTTATTTCCGTGTATGTATTTGTACAGGAAAGTTGACTTACTGGTTGGGTCAAGCCGTGAAAAACCAACCAAATACGTCAATTCTGTTGATTGACCGTTCTAATCACAGACACAAAAAGGATAACAAATTGAGAAACGAGGAATCGGACTTCAAAGTGATTCGAGTTCACGCGGATATCGCGGACTTGAAATTAAGCGACGTTCCAGAAGTTAGAAACACCAAAGCCCAAGTTGCGGTTGCAAAACATTTATGCGGCGTCGCTACAGGTATGTACTAAAGTTATTCAAATTATCGTTATCTCTTTCGTAAAATAATTTTTGGGCACAAAATACGAATTTTTTCAGATTTAACTCTACGCTGCTTGACGAATTCACTGAAAGACAATCCAAGCTCAAAAGTTGGAATAGTAATAGCGTTTTGCTGCCACCACCAATGCGAATATTCTCAATTCGTTGGCCATAAGTACTTGGAAAGCGAAACTTTCACAAAAGATGAATTCCCGATTCTCTGTAAAATAGCCAGCTGGGCAACCTGCGGCATCAAACAAAACACCCAAAACGACGACTCGGCGCGGGAAATCATGGGCAGAAAAGTGAAAACGCTATTAAACTGGGCTAGACTGGAATATTTGAAATCTCGCGGATTTACCGGGCGACTGGTAAACTACGTAACCACCGACGTTACACTTGAAAATGCTTGCATAGTCGCCACTTACGCGAAGGTACAAAAAGAAGATCGTTAAGTCTTCGAAATGCATTTGCATGGTACAATTAATTTTTTGTGTTAAAAACGAAAATGTATCTTTAATAATTGTACATAAAAATGAAGCGAAATCGGCAACAGGACAACTTTTGAATTGCGTACACGCATACCCATAAAAAAAACTGACCTTTCTCCTGTGGGCTCTCCTTAGCTCGCCGTCTGTATGGTTGCCTATGGTTTATGCTCGAGATCCACCTCCACCATTCGCGTTCCGTCGACTCTCCCTCCTCCTCACCTACAGGTATACACTCACATGTAACACATAAAACGGGAAGGGAATAAAAAAGAAAAAGAAAAAAGGAGTGAGAGCCGCGGCGCGCCCAGCCCATCGTGTATACGCACTGCATCAGTACAACTTGAGAGTTTGTATTTCGGAGGCGCATTCCTCGGTACGAGTGAAGCCGTCGTTGTCGCTGCAGAGCTGCCGATTTTCAATGTTGACGACCAGAGTATCGCGTAGTAGCGCCAACAGGAGAACAAACGAGGTGGGTCCGGGAAATAGCGATAACTCAATATTTTATTGACGATACCTAGGAAGAAAAAAAAAAAAAAAGAAAAGGGTCGACGCCTTACTGCATCAGTAGAGTAGTCCGGCTCGGGAGCGTGTGTACATACCGCTTTGGTAGCGTAGTAACGTATATAATATCGGTATACAAACTCGCTCGACACGTATAAAGTAACAAGTGCATGTGGGCGGCGGTTGCCGTACGTCTGCGTTATACCTTTGGGCAGGGCTCGGCCGTCCAGACGTTTTGTCTCGGAAATTAAATTACTTAAATCGAATAAGCTCGTATCTTATTGTAAAACGTATCGGTACACGCACGCATGCATGTGTGCGCGTTGCGCCTTTTTCTCTTTAAATCACGCAATTAGCCTACTTTGGAGCGCATCGTCGCTATGTTTTCTGTGTACACCAATCCATCGTACTTATATATTATTGTAATAATGCCCACCGATGCTTGTTACAATTATGTATCTATGTGTTATGTAGTTTTTTTTTTTTTTTTTTTAACAAATTGCAACTTAAATTTTCAGTAGATCGAGCCAGTAGATCAATGAAATGTCTGCGCTACTGAATCGAGACGAATACAAGAAGAATCCGTACTTTGATCCCGACGACGTCATATACAGCAACTACACGTATTTTTACGTAGCGATCAGCATCTGCTCGATCATCGCTGGCTTTTTGCTCGTCCTCAACGTGGTGTTCTGCTATTGCTCGCAGTACCGCGGCTACTGGAGGGATCGGCACACTGGTAATTCAATTGTCTTATGCGTCACGCTTTATATTCGAATGATTATACTTTTGTGATTTCAAAAGGAGTCAGGTGGGACGGGGTTAAAGTGTACAAAGTGTTGTCATTCAAGTACAAGGTACTTATATGACGATTTTCACGTGTTCAGGTAATCGTTGGATCAACACTATCTGGACGGCAACGCCCCAGAATAATCCGCCTCTCGATTTGTCCGAGCTAGAGGGCGGCCTTCGGCCACAGTACTCCGGCACTCACGCGGTCGCGCCTTACCACGACGAGGAAACCGAGCGTGGATCCCGGCAGGCGCAACAGTACATAGAACTGCAGAAGCGCGAAAGTGACTTTTGAATTGTTTTTACCACTACTTTTTTGATTTAAAAAAAAAAAAAAAAAAGAAATACCATTGAAGATGAGTCTGCACGTGTTTTGGCCGGCATCAACGGCCCTGACGATGTTCGTCGTCGGTGTCATTGTCGTGATGATCAAGTACGGGCCGCGCTTGTGCAAACTCAGACACGAAGTACTGCCATCGGAACAAGATTGGGAAAGTAAGACCTACTCCCGCGACGTTTCGGTTTCAATCGCTTGATCGTCACCGATACAATATATACATATATACATACCTATTATTATGTAGGCCTAATATTGCCCCTATCTATACAGTAGTGGTAAGTTTCAACAGTACCAAAATGCACGAGAGAAAGAGGAAAAGTTTTGCCTACATTGTACTCTATACTACTGCCATTGCAAATGTAATTTTTACGTAGAATCTCCATTTTCGTGAGTAGGCATTTGGATTTTTTTTTTTTACATCGCTTTACGCACATTCCGTCCATTAAGTATACATTTTTAGTGCCTATATTACGTGATTTAGCAAATACTTTATTTTGTATACATAATATTCACGGGGCAATCTTTGTTCTGTATATTTTTTAATGATTGCGTTACGAAGAATTTTCTCTTTTCAGACATATTTTACGTGTACCTACTGATACGTACAAGCTTTTTTTGCTTCCTCTATTTTTTGCAGTCAAAGTAAAACTTGCGGCTAGCATACTATTTTTATCACCAATGAAATTATATTACAGTAGTAATTTCAAACGATACAAATGAAGAAAATTTACATACGTCTTATTATTCAAACTAAAAGTGCCTAAAATTGCCTTCAATTCATCATTAGTAATAATATTAATCGTTAAACGATTACGTACGTAATAATAAGATAAATCGTAAAAAATTTTACAATGTTATTAAATTATATTNTACTAACACTCAAATTAATAAAACAAATATTTTGTATCTAATACTATGAATTTTTTTAAAGCTTCTTTTTTAAATAAGATTTTTTTTGGCCTCTTGATTGGGAGCTGCGCTACCTGCTCCGTAGTCTTTTTTGGTTTGTTTTAGGCAGTAACTTAAAACGACTTCCTGGAGCCGCACCACTCCCTGTTAAGCGAAGAATCCATCCTTCTTTTTCGCCATCAACCACTGCCTTGGTTATCTTTTTCAATCGCAATTTCGTTGGCTCCATATTTTCCTTTATGTATCTTTTGATGGCAAAAATAGTTGAACCCTTACGATTGTGCAGAGCGCCAAGTGCACTGACTACCATTTCTTTCGCGGAGAAATCCTTCCAGCTTGGCTAAAAAAATTTTGTTTACATGTTCATAAATCACAACAATACGTTCACGAGTTACAAGTATGTCATCTCTCTCAACAAAAAACAAACATTTTGGAACTTCTGCACACACAAAAATTGCTTATACTAGAGTGTTTTCAAATTAAATAAATAAACCCTTTTTTCTAAGAAAATGCGAGCAACACGCCCAAAACCATATTATAGTTTATCATAATATGTGATGAAATGAAAATATGTAGACAAAAATTCCAATTGCGTGTAAAAAATGAAATAAATATACACGCAGTAAGTACGCACAGTATACATTTTCAGTCGCAATAAACTAACCTTCTCTTGAGAGCTGGGGGCGGGGCCGGCAGCAGCGGCAGTCCGGCCGGCTGTGAGGTTAGCTGTCGCAGCTGCTAATGCCGCCATTGCAGCTGCCAATGCTGCTAAAATAGTGTCATTGCTTTTATTTTTGATAACTTCGTCCTTATCCTCCCTCACAGTGGAGGCGTTGTTCTTCGGATGCTCCAACTTTTTTATCGATGACCGCGTTACTTTTTTTATACGGGCCATGGGTTTCGTAACTTTCACCTTTTTTTGTTTTTGCGTTTTGTTATTCATTGTTGCCCCTACCTTTTCTTCCTTCTTTTCGATACCTTTATTTATTTGTACAGCGTAACGATCATCGTCATCATCGCTGTCGGAAAACGTGGACAAATCTATAAATCGTGTTGGCCATGTATGCATTTGTTTATTTTTGATTTTTTTGTTACGATAGAATATACTTTTATATTGGTATATACCATATACACAAATGACTCACAATTTCACAAAAAAAGTTCCAAAGACTCTATACCTACTTACAATTTACAACATACTATTATGAACTAATTTGACTTCTCAAAGTCTGCTCGAGCTCGAGAGCCAACCCGACAATAATGTAAAAATTATACCTACAAGGCTCAAGGCTTGGCGTTGCGCATCCATTTTGATTGACCAATCAGGAACGCTTCCATCGCACCGCCATGTCTGTCTGCAAATTTCAAAAGCTTTTAAAATATAAAGCGTATTAGCATCAAAAAACTCGTGAAACAATGTATATTTTTTACTTCAATATTTTCATTCAAGTTATTTTAGTGACCAAACGCCCAATTCGGCAATATTTACCCAGAAAAAACTGACTAAATAGGTAAACAATGATCAGTTGACACGTACACGTGTGTCTACATCTATATATGTCTCACTTCAAGGTGGATGCGGGGGATAGGTTTTAGTTTCAACTTTGGCCACTTCGTTTGATTGTACAGGCTCTTCGGCGCTGTAGTAGTCACATCTCCCTCAAATATGGCGTCGTGTTGGAAGGCGCAAAACGGCACGAAAATGAGACCTCGGAAAGCCACACACCTTGTAAGTATATATTTTTACACATCATGAACCTGACGGCAAAAAAGCAAATAATCTAGTTTGGGGCACAATGGCGTCGACCCTTATTTGAAACGCACGTACCATTGAAGATTGGAGCGTTTTCAAGTGAAGAAGATCGTATTTTAAAAAAAAACTGGAAAGCCTTTTGCAAGGTTGTTTGTATTTCCCTAGTATGAATTTTGTTTCAACCAAAGTACGACTAATCTGATTATTATATCGTTTTAGCTACACAATTGGGATAAAAAAAATCCAAAGCCTTTTTTATACATGAGACCACACAATAAATTTCTCTTGCGTTGTCGAAAAAATAGGTTGCGGTTTGTGCAGTTTTTGGCTGATGGACTTCATGATAGATCTTTGTATAGTGTGTACCACAGGTTTCGAATATTATATGAACCACATAAAACGAGCAGGTCTGTAAAACTTTCGGTGTACATTTTTCAGGATCTTTTTTTTCACTGATTTAAAAAAAATTTATTTTATAGATACGCTCAAGAAGAAGATAACGTTATATTAAATTTCATTAAAAACCATGATACTAATGAGTCATCAGATCGCAAATTTGCAGATTTAGCAATAATGTTGAAGAGAACTAGAGCATCAGTGTGGCGCCGCTATCGAGTGCTGAAGAAAAAGTATAAAATCGCAACAGAGCAGTAATGTCAAGTTACATTTAGATGACATTTTGTACATAATACGTTATTTCTTACTTACATTACTTACTAAGAAAAGTAACATTAAAAATGACTTTTGAATTTTTATTTCCCATAGTATTGAGAAAAAAAACTGTTATTTAAAGCTGTTAAATGAGATAAAACAGTCCAATATTGTAAAAACATTCTTTATTGCATTAAATATTTTTATATGAACATATAGATGAAAATTGTTAGTACTTGCCAACTTAAGTTATTTAAAAAAAAACTACGGTATAAACTAAACGAAATAAGAAATAACAAATATTTCACTTGAATTAATCTATAAATGTATACAATAATGGCTTCTGTATAAAAATTTCAGTCGTAGGAAACGAATAATTAAAATTCGTTAGCGCGTCATCTGTCGAGACACAAATTGATTTGAGATTCCCTCAGAATATCTCGTTTATCACAGGAAGCGACCGCACAGCGGATTGCACATTGTTAACATGAACATCATCAGAGTTCTGGTTACTTTCAGCAATCATTTCTGTGGCTCTGCAACGCTTCTGGTGAGCAAAGAGACTGCCACTGTGGCTGTACGCCGCATTGCAGGTCTTACAGACGTAGGGCTTCTCTCCAGAATGCGTGTACGTATGCTCTTTTAGCGTACTCAATCGTTTAAAAGCCTTGCCGCACGTCTTGCAATGGTAATTGGCTTCACCGGTGTGACGAGTCAGGTGGCGCCTGAACGCCGAGCTCACGGCAAATGCCGCACTACATACATGGCAAACAAAAGGCTTGTCCCCGGTATGGATGCGGATATGGTTGGCCAAGCTCGTGGTAGTGGTAAAACCACTGTTGCAGGTTTTGCAGACGTGAGGCTTGACTCCGGTATGAGTTCGCATGTGGTAGGTGAGCGACGAGTTACTGGGATATACTTTGCTGCAAATGTGGCAGAGATACTCTCTTGGCACTTTCTCCTTGGGCTTGCTGTGAATTTTTTGATGCAGAGCCAGTCGCGCTCGACTGGCACAAACTTTCTTGCAGACTTCACAAACTGCTGGCTCTGGCTTTGGCTTATGCATAGCGACATGCCTTCGTAAGCCCTTCTTGGTTGTCATTACTTTGTCGCAATGTTGGCATTTGTACTCTCCACTGTTCTCGTCCTCGCTTTCTTCTTTCTTGCAATTGTTACCACTATCCGATTTAATGCTATCTACACTCGGAAATACATCATCATCGGATTCATACAATTTATTGCTGTCGGACATATTGTCGAGCAGTCCATGCCCGTGTTTTTCGGCATGCTTCTTCAACGTGTCGGGTCGGAAAAACCATTTCTTACAAACTGTACAAGAGTATTTTTTTTCCCCGTGTATGAGAGTATGACGTTTTAAATTTTTCAACGACGAACAGTATTGGCCACATTCTTCACATTTAAAGTTTTTTGTAGCACTTTCCAAATCAATAGATTGATTTCCATTTTCATCATCTGAATCTTCACTTTTGCAATTAATCTTTTCATTAGACTCACTTATTGGATTATCAGAATTCAATTGCTTAAAATAGTTATCTTTTTCGATGTGCGACTTGATATGTGCATCAAGACTTTCAGGTTTTGAAAAACAGGTACTGCACATATGGCAGGCATAAGGCTTCGTATTATGAATAGGCTTATGTTTTTCAAAATTTTCAAGCTTACAAAATGTTTTGAAACAAGTTTCGCACTTATACTGTTTATCATGTGTCAACTGATGTTTCCTACAGCCAAGCTGAGTGGTGTAAGTTTTTGGACACGACTTGCACTTATACTTTTTCTCTTCTTGGGTTTGATTTTCCGTATCTTCAACAAAATAATCATCTTCAATTTCTTCACTAGTAAATTGGTCATTTTCCATGCTCTTTGACTTATCATCCAATCCTTGTTTTTGCAAGTTGGTATCTTCTGTAAGAGTTTGATCTTTCTCCATATAATAATAATTAACATTGTTTTTCACGTCATCTACAACACTAATACCTGTATCTATACCGCAAACGCCATTGATTAAATTTACGTTAACAGGAATTAATTCCTGACCACAATTTACTGACTGTGTATTGCAGGGAATCGTTTCTGAATTTTTAGAAATATCTTTGGATTGTTCATCAAAAGTCAGATGGCAATCGAAAAGTTTTTGTTCCGGAACCGAAATATTATTTACATTAACTGTGGATATGCTTGCTGCAATTGAAGTAACAACCGCATTAGTTTGCGCTTCTGAATGATACTCTCCACTTGCGATTGAATTATGGAACTGCTGACCATTCATTGTTTCTTCTTTTACATAATAACTTTCCTGCAATCCTTCATCAGACTTTGTCAAAAGAACCTGTGTTTGCAAGTCAGTCTGTGTACCAGAATCCTGAGTAAAAATGATAAATTAAGTAAAATAATACAAATGTATTTTTAGAGTTAATTTCATAGTGTGACTTACAGTGGCACTATTGAATTTAGCTGGTTTATTATAATACATCCTTAGTCTAGCATCAGAGTGTTGGCACAATTGTCTGAATTCAAAGGCAATATTTGCTTTATACATACAGACGCCACAAATAAGAGTAGGTAAGCCATCCTGTTCCTGGCAATCAACACCCCCACAAAGTTGAATCTTTTGTGGCAAATCTAGGTTGCCATCTATGGTTTGTCTACTACAAAAAATGGGTTGTAAGTTTGTATTTTCCATCAAGCAAATTCTACAAGCTCTGTCCATATTTAATGGCATGACAAAATAGCTATTATTTAACGTCATGGCTATTGGTTGTCTCTGTACGATCTGCAACAAAAAATTTGTCAAGTATCAAAGGAATTGAAGAATATTTCACTTATACAAAGTTGTACTGTTTTCTTATAAACCACTTAAATTTACACCCAGCACTTCAATAATAAATTACGCGACAAAAAAATGGGAGGAAAAAGTTACTACATTTTTTCTAAGGACATGGTAATAATTATGAATAAAACATTTACAAATATGTTTAAACGGTTTCAAACAATCGAGTCTCGGAGAGCACCGAACCTTTTGCACTTATTTATTATAGTAACTATACGTGTATACACATTCTACAAAAAAAAAATATACCAAGACTGTCAAGTAAAAGAGCAACAAGTAACAAGTAAGTAAGTAACAAGTAAATACAAAAAACACACCAACACCAGTCGGCAAGATATTATATTCACGACAACCTCCGGGATTGAGTGCCACTGCACATTTGTATTTGACACGAAGGAGCTGAAATATGCCAAGAGAAGATTAAGGTTCTCAACTTGAATAGTTTCTCCGACAAAAATCCTGTTCCAAGTTTCAAGGGCCAAGCTGAGCCTGAGCCGCCTGAGCGCTATATATACACTGCGCAGGTTGCAAGTGAAGATCGGGTATTCGGGTGCAAACTCTGCAAATGGTGAGAGCGTGAGAGAGAGAATTCTCAAAAAAAAGGAAGTCGCTCGCACTACTTAATCACATCTTGCAATATACGTACCACGTACCACCTACCACCTACATAAACATAGATGTTCAGTTCATATAGACTGCGCGAAGAGCGACGACCGACGACCCTTTGTACTTAAGTAATACTTAAGCCGACTTATGCTCGGCTCGCGTGTCTACATCGTGTCTTCCTTCATTCTTTCTTCGTATACTTGTTAATGCTGCATTTACTTGCTTACAATGGCTTCCCTCGCGCAAACACTGCGAAGCGCCACAACCACTGCACGCACTCTTCTTCTTGTTCTTTGTAACTTTTGGCTGAAATGTTTAAATCCTCCTGCAATGTGGATTGCTGCTGCACACCACAGCGCTGGTTCCAAATGGGTGTAATACTTATTGCTGAATATTGCTCCGATTTGTTGTTTTGAAATTTGCTCAAGAAAACGTCTGCTAGTAGTGAGCTCCAAAAGTCTACTTATTCTCTCGCCTGTAACAAATTTTTAAAAATATACTGCATTTTTTTCTTCCTCTTTTTCTTTACAGTGCACAAAATTACGATTTCTCTTAATTCACATATGAACTTTACATTACATTTTTACGTTATTATGAAATTCCCATCTGTGTCCTAATTTTATTTGATTTTATTTAACACGTATCGTAGGATTTGCTTTTATCAACTACTTATTTAGCTTGAAAATCTGAAACAATACGATTTTTAAAGGGTTGTGTGGGTTCGATCCGGGCAGAGATGAGTAGACTATCTATTATCTACTCCTTACCCCGGGCTTTATTCAAGTAAGTAAACGATACATTAAAAAAATATTATGCAGATGTCGTGACCGGGCTTCCACAGACTTCTCGGTTCCACAGACTGTCATTTCATCGCAAGTGTCAAGTGACGTCTTTTTCAGCCTTGTGTATATATCTATACATATGGAGCCATAAATAATGACAGTTGATAAGTACACGTGCGCGCATTGTTGATGATAATCGAACTCTTTAATACGTATACCTTTAACCTGCGATAAGGTCTTTTAGTAAATGAGCAATAATTTTTTAAATGGTCTAGAAAAATTTTTTGAAGGGGATTTAAAAAAA